GCCTCCATTGGAAAGCTATATGCACTGCTGCTTTTTTTATATTTCTCATTTGAATTGCCCGCCGACTTTGCAGTTCAGCGTGAGTTGAAATTAGGTTCATGATGAAATCAGACGGGTCAAAGGTTTGGCTGTAATAACGTAAATTATCGATTTTAGACACGGCTTAAAAACTGTATAAGTGTCTGGAATGCTCATTTCGGAGCGCAAGCACTAAAAAGGGAAAATAAGACCGCGGGGAGGGAAGCAGGTGGGGGGACGATAAAAGACCGATCACAAAAATCAAGCCCCAACTCAATGATTACATCTTCTTCTGAAAGCTTCCTCTGTCATTGTGCATGTCACACGTCTATCTGACTTTCACTTGTTCCCAGCTTCCATACGTAGTATTTATTGAGTTCTCCATTATGTGCTGTCTCCCACCTGCCAGACTGCCTTCTCTGAGTGGGTGCAATTAAAGTGCCAAGCTCCATCAAGTGACAGTGATGTTTTTTTCTTCTTGAAAATTCAATTGAATAAAGATGACGCTTGGAGCTACAGTGTTGGAGCCTGTGGTGCGGTTGGACGTGAAAAAGACTGGCACTACATGTGTGTGTTTAAGTCACTTCAGGCCATTTTGCTGGCTTGTTTTTTGTGTGTCTAATTGTATATTCATGGGTGAGCTGGTGTGTTTATATACACGCCTCAGCCGGTAGAAAAAGTTCTCAAGCATTCTGTCGCGTGATTGTATTTATTCTGTGTGTGTGTTTCTACTAGTTGGGGTGCACTTCTGCTTAGGGGGTTTGCAATTCATTAAAAAAAGCAGCTTTGCCACCTGCTGCCCTAATGTCACTGAGACCTATAGAGGCGAGCCCCGAGGAGCTGCATGAATATTTAACCATGGCATGGATTAACCGAGATACCTGTATTGAGAAACAGAAAATAAGGAGGAGTGTCTTTCTCTGTTTGCATCAAGTAACATAACAGCATAACAGACCTGTAATTTAAAATGCACTAACTTGAAGGTCCTTTTCTGACTAAGTATCATTACGCAAACTCATTTTGCAGCTGAATCCTAATTATAGTAAATCAATTGTAAACAATACATCTGCATGATTAATAAGCACATGGAAAAAAAGGAACCATTGTAATTCATTTTAATTGTATGAAGAAAAACTATTGAATCATTTATTCTGCTTGTAAAAGACACATTTTCCCAAATCAACTTTTAAGGTATTTTTTAAGGTATTTTTCGCCTCAGGTTGCAGGAGGACATTACGGGAAAATCTATCCAATGAAGGATAACCTTTCTGCCAGAACTAATGTCACATGCAATATTTAAGTCTAGTGTTAGTATTATTTTTTAATGTCACCATTGTTAGTCTATAATTAAATTTTTTGGTGTTTTTCTAATGATCAGATTTGGATGGAAGAAAGCTTGTGGATGGAGCGTAAGAATATGTCGGTTGTCCATGTTACGTTTGTTTTGTCTAAATGCAATGGCTGATATTCTGTGTGGAGTAGAGGGAGGATGAGGCTCTCCCGGTTGTGGTATCAACTAAATAAATGAGGAAGCCCGCGACTTTGGCGCAGTGCAATTGTCAATGTCCGTGGCCCCGAGGCCCTCTGCTCCTACAATTAACTTCTCTTTTTTTTTTAACTTCAGAGTCCCCCCAAGTGAAAAAGTCAATACCAGGAAGGTTCTGGCCGTTCCAGTCACAGCCCAGCCGCCGGTGTTTTGGGGGGAAGCAGACTTTTTTTTTTAAGCCGAAGCTGTGATCGATGAATTAAAAACCTTCGTTCTTAACCGGCATGTTTTTTACCAGAATTAGGTTGCTATCCATTTAAATACAAAAATAACAATAACGTGATGATACGAGTAAAACCATGACCATGAACTTATTGTTATTTCAATTGAGAGTAGAGGCAATTGTCACAACTGGAAACTATTGTTACCACATTAGCAAAGGATAGCATAACCCAGATTTAATGAATCGCGTAGCCTCTATAGGTGGTATTGTGTCGGGGTCTTGTCAAATTGGATTTATTGTGCTGCCTCCGTTTCCAGGAGAGCACCGAGTGCATCTTCATTAAATGTGTTTGTGAAAGAGTGCCGTGGGTCAAAAATGCTGACGATGCTGTATCTAGGAACGAGAGAGGAGAGGGGGTGAAGGCAGGCTATTTATCAAAAATATTATATCACAGGAGGTTTAAGTAATCACTACAGTCTATATAAAGCCTCTTAACTTAAACAAAGCAGAGTTTTATTTTCTCTCATTGTATCAACAATATTTTAATTGTCACTTACTCTGCCTCACTGTAATACTAATAACTTTATATAACAACATGAAGATATCCATGCGCTTTATTGATGCAGCAACTGTTGGCCCTCTGGTTCAATATGGTATTTGATAGGATCGTTTGACATCATTCCATTTCCTGACTCATGAGTTATATGGCTTCTTGATGTTGGTCATGATCGTATTAAGTTATGCTAACTGATCTGAAGAGCTCGGAGTTGGACTAATGAACTCAGTGGCCTTCTGCAGGCAGAAAGAGGTTGAATGCAGCGGATGCAGAAGTGCGTGCATATGTCAGCGCCAACGTGACTTGGGCAACTTGACAGCCGACAGTTGGGTTGACTGTAGAGCCCTGGCGCTCTCTTTGCCCTCAGTTCTTAACTCATCTCCCCATTGCTTTCATTTCTGACGTGTGTGTGTGTGTGTATCCAGACAGCCTCATGCACCGTTGAGCTCTCAGAATGAGAGAAAAGACATCGAGGAACGGCGCCAAACAGCCTCCCTCTCTGATTCCGTTTTATCAGTGCCGTGAATCTGTCTCTCACGCACTCTTTTTTTTTTTTTTCCGTAGCCATCATGCTCCTCTGCTTTGCCGCATGCCACTGCCATTAATGTTTTATTGGCTCAAAGCTCTTTGTGCATTTGTAATTTATGATCCCTGTGAAGAGCCGTTCCAGGCCTTCTGTAGCCTGTACCTTCTCACTCACGTGGTCCTTTTTGAATAGCTAAACTCCGGTGTCTGACTGTGAGTAGAGCAGCTCGTGTTTTGAAGATGTGTTCTGTTTGAAGTGCTTAGAGTTCTGCTCGGGAAATGGCGTTGACCTGAGTGTGGCGCGAGCTCCTCGGCTCTAAACCACGCCGAGCTGAGCTGTGTCAGCGTGGAAGTTCTGTTGCTGACAGTGTGATTGACAATTTGTAATCTACAATACTTTAATTTCCCATCTTTCCACAGTAGGCTTAGTGGCATAAGCTGCTCGGATACTTTTCCATCCGGCTAAGCCCAAACTCTCGGTGCTCACGAAATCTGTTGTGATTCCATGTAATTCCAAATCCATAATTATCAGACCAACCACCCCAAATCCTCCCGGTGTGCTATCATCAGGCTCTTTTTCTGGGCTCCTAAATATTTATGAGTTGAGATGTTTTTAGCGATGGCGGGGAGGAACAGGGAGGAAGCCTTTTGAGATTCCGATCAGCGCACACTTACAAACTGCAGCTTGACTTATTCGTGAATATGTATGAGATTCCTCCTTTGTGACTGCTAGCAAGGTAAATCAACCTGTCAATTATTCTATTTCGAAGTGCTCTGCTGGCCGCTTAACCTTGTTGGGGTTGAACATAATTTCCTTCTCCTTAGATGGAGAGGCCAATGATATTCTGATTTCCTCTCAAACTGGAAAAATGAAAGAGTCGATTGATCATTCCAGGGATTTTTGCAATACTTGCGAACTTAGAGACATAAAGACTTACAGCTGGCCACAATTGTACTGTGTTTATGTCTGATGGCAGATGTTAGCAAGCTGACAAGCTGAATGTAGAATAATAATCATGCATGCTAGGTATGTCATTGTGAACACGTTGGCATGCTGTATGTTAGTATTTAGTTCAATATATATGGTAATAAATGGAATATATTTTGGTTTTGGACTGACTTTTGGATAAAACAAAGGAATTTGAAGACACCCCATTAGACTCAGAAAAATGTAAAGGTCTGATCTTCTATGGACAAAATAATTCCAGTTCTTTTTATAGTGGTGCAAATGGGCAACATGGACTTTTCTGTTCAAGTCGTACCACACTATTTGCTACAAAGACATGCTTTTTAAGGACATTTAGTCCAACTCACCGCCACCTTTCAGATGGAAATTTTAGTTACATTACATGTCATTTAGCTGACGCTTTTTTATCCAAAGTGACTTACAATAAGTGCATTCAACCATAGGGATTCGAACTCAGAAGAACAAGAAACAAGAAATGTCCTCAAATAAACCAATTTACAATTTGCTATAGATGAGTGACCTTACAAGTACAATTTAAGTGCTACAATTTGTTAGTCTTTAGTCGAGGTTAGAGTCTGAAGAGGTGTGTCCTTAGCTCTGCGGTCCTGGTGTCTTCAGAGAGCTCGTTCCACCATTTCGGAGCAAGGACACCAAAGAGTCGAGATCTAGTCGAGTGTTTTGCTCTCAGTGAGGGAGGGACGAGTAGTTTTGCAGATGCAGAGCGGAGAGTGCGGGTCGGGATGTAGGGTTTGACCATGTCCTGGATGTAAGCTGGACCCGATCCATTCACAGAATGGTACGTGAGCACCAATGTTTTGAACTGGATGCGGGCAGCCACCGGTAGCCGGTAGTTGTTGGCAAGTTGTCTGTCTGACCTGGAAAAGTGCACGTCCACTTGGATGAGCCTCACTGTGCTTTGTGGTGGAGCAGATTGAAGCCCAGATCAGAGGAAGACGTATGCGAGGAGAGTGCAGAGCTCAATCCTTTGGAGGAAAGAGGCCAGGTTCATCAAAAGAGCCCAAAGTAAGGTGGAGACATGCAATATTGATGGATAGAAGAGAAAGTGTCCGGTAGATTAGAGGAAGAGCGCATTCATCCAGGTGTGTGACCACAAATTGAAAAGAAAAACACCTCTGGTTGTTGTTTTTTTCTACTGACTAAAAAACTTTTTTTGAGTTTTTAAATTTAGCCACTGTGCCTTACGATTCCTTTCTTTCATTTCCAGAATAAAGTCCTGAACATCGATGGCGTCAAGGTGAAGCTCCAGGTGAGAACTTACATTTATCGCAGCAATGCTCAACAGCCGCCACCACACTTTCAATACGAGTTGTCGTCAAGAGCAAGGTGTCTGCCAAATAACAACCAGGCTTTAACCCCCGTGGCTTTGTAGCCACCTGTCAGATCCTGTTTCCAACACCACCTGTCTCCTAGATTCAACTCACTTTAGCTTTTACGAGATAGAGAAAAGATCTGTCGTGGCCGTGTTTTGTGAGGAAATCTGCAACCTTAATGCAAAAAAGGCTCTACAAGAGAATGAGGGTTGAATTATGTCAAGAATTATGTCTGATCAGGCTGCGAGTTTTCTTCCCTATTCCACACTTCATTCAATAATTCAGCAGCGTTGTTTGCTTAATGCTAGCAATTATGTGAATCATCCCTAATGATGGGGTTAATGGAGGCTGGTGAAGCCGCCCTCAGCTCTGTAATGTATTCATTTGTGTTTAAATGGCTCAAAGTCAGTTCGCAGAACACCGTGTAACCTACAAATGGAGAAAGGGAAAGATATGTTTCTTGGCGTCGTTCATTAGTGCAACTTGGATCTGGGGGGGAAGTTGCCCTGGGGGGTATTCTTGAGACACAATCGGCAAGAATGCTGACACATCTTGTAGAAATAAAGATGAAAAAAGAAAAATGGCGGAGTGATCGAGTCAACCTGCACATGTCTGATATGAAGAGAATAATGTGTGATATGTATGTGCTATTAGAGCCACATTTTAAGGGGAAACTGTCTTAATTAGACTCAATCCACTGAGCTTCAACCACAGCTGATCACTATTTAAAATGACCGAGACGAAATATGAGGAAAGCTGGGGGAAAAAAAAGAAAAAGTTAAAATAAGGTACACTAACCTTAAATTTGAACTAACTAATGTGTCATACTGTATTATCAATTAATCAAATTACTGTGCGTTATGTAAAAGGTTTATTTCTAGGCATATATCCACTAATGAAACCAAATGAAAGGAAAATATTAGACTTGGAAATGGAACCGGGTGGGAATGGACGTGCCTCCTAGTTACTGCTGATGTGTGCATTGGTAACTGTTTGCTAAGGTCTCACGTTTGTGGTTCTCTATTATTAAGGTTGATATCAAGGTGTTTACAGCTTGCTTGCAGAAAAACATGAATTAATGCAGCTTGAAGTACTGAATTCATAAAACAAATGACTATTCAATAGTCTCATTTCCATGTTCCGGACTATAATTGGAGGGTTTCACAATGAGCTACAGCGAGATGGCTGAGCAAACAGAGGGCTTATTATAGAGATAGAAACTTCCTCCTCCATTCAGTGATTACCTTACTCTCTTATGCTCTGCAGATCTGGGACACAGCTGGACAGGAGCGCTTCCGTAGTGTCACTCACGCCTACTACCGTGACGCCAACGGTGAGACACTCGCGTGCATACATACACACCCATATTCTGTTATTTTTGTACAGCAGAGGATTCGCTTTGAAGGTAAAAAACATGTTGATTTGCTCACATGCGTCGGGTCAGGACATGCAGCCTAACATGCAGGTTGTGGCCTCATTAGAATAGAGTTTCAGCGTAACATTTAGATGTGTAATATCTTAATGCATAGATAGCATGCCGTTGCAGTCTGGAAAGGAGTCTCTGTATTCTCTTCCTGTGAACATCAAGATACAGTAAAAGTGAGGTTTTTGAGAATTCTTCTGCAGACTTGCTGTATTGCCAGGATGATATACAGTTTTTCATATAGCAGATGAGATTGTTCTCTTTCCACTGTGCAGTATCATCAAGCACTCTCCTGGGGGAAAGGACAGCACATGCACGGCACTACGATATTTTATCAGTAATCACGGAAGTGTGTCTGCCTTTTACTAATCACAATGTTATTGTAAGAAACTGCATTCGTTTTTTCAAAAAGCTGGAAATGTAGGCGAGGCTGCTTTTAGAAAGAACTAAAAGTCTTTGCATTTAAACACATGAGAACAGCTTTTTGGACAGGACCTGTTTTTTGTTTTAGGGTGGTTCTGCACCTTTTTTGGTCAATTATTTTTTGTCATTTTATGCATGGGGAATGCACCACTGTGTTTGGTATTTCAATCTCTGTGCAGTCGAGGATCCCTGTGTGATCCAAGGGAAGTGTTACCGCCTGAATGTGTTTGTCCATATCATTTATTTAAGCTTGTGTGTGTTATCCTTATTATGAATGCAATGCATTGGCGGTCAGCCCGCATATGTATTGCAGGATTTATTTGTCTACTGTAACCTGGAGGAGCTTTAGCACACTATGACGTTTTAAAAGCGTTTTTTATTACTGCTTTGATTTACTAAAAAGCATTGAAGCTCAAACTAAAAAAGATTAAAAGATTCATATATTCCATGATGAACCAGGGAAACAAACTAAAGATCTTCAAATGATGTCGATGAAATCCCAGTTGTGATGTTGAGAATGATGTGTGAGTGTGTGGAAGAGAAATGGAAGCATAACAAGGTCTAATTCCCATCGCTGTGGTTCTGTTTTTGTTTTCACGTTTGAAGTTTCTCACTAATTTAAGCTTTCTTACTTGCAGCTTCTGTATATCCACTTCTTATCAAACCTTTCTCTGTTCTGCACTCACAATCTATATTAATTTCATCCTTCAAAAGTTTCAGTCTTCTTTTTTCCAGTAAATCATGCGTATGAGAGTTATTGATTGAGTCTTTTGTTTCCAGCATGAAAGGAAAACAGACAGACCCCGATTTGTTGTGGAATCTTTTGACAAATAACATTTAAGGCTATCTTTTACATATAAAGGAGTGTTCACCATAGAAAAAAAACACCTTTATTGGAAATAGTGTTTAATACCGCTAGCATAACGGCGTCCATGAAAACAAATAAATACCCACATAAAAAATAAAAATAAAACCTTTTATGAATTTCTGTGTCCTGACTCCCAACTATTAAGTGATGGCTGATGGCAAAACAGTGAGAAACGGCTCCAGGAAAAGTCGCGCTTCATTACTTTATTACTTAGCTGTTGGTCTTCATCATGCTCCTCACTCCTGGATTGCCTCCTTTCCAAGCTGCATAGACCCTTGCTGCCCCCCAAATGCCTGAACTCCCCGGGCGGATCGCTCCAAAGACAGATAGGGAGACATCTACCGAAGTATCTTTGATGTATAAAATGGCTTTTTCACTTATATTTTTGATTCTATTTGCAGATTTTTGCAATGTCACTTAGATGAAAAGAAGCACTCCTTGAGATGTGTTTTATGTGGGAGTTAAAGGACCTGTCCCGATCAAATATGATCCTCAGTTTACTTACGGTGGTGCTGCATGCCAGGGCAATGCCATCTAGAGAATATATCATTTGCTAAATCATATTACCTAATGGAAGTGTGTACATAAGCTGAATAAAATAGGGCCATGAAAGGAACCTTGTGGAACTCATCGACTTTTGTGTGCTTGGAGGGTTTGGTCAGTGGAAAAGAGAAAGAATTCAAATTAATCAGCCTCAGACACCAAGTAAACTTATTAAAAAATAACTTTTTCATAAGTCATTTGAAAGGAAGTTGAAAAGGCAAGGTGAAAGAATTAATTACACCTTTCTTTTTTGTGTGTGTGTTTTGTTAGCTTTGCTTCTGCTATATGACGTCACAAACAAAACATCCTTTGACAACATACAGGTAAGTAACATTTTATCGATCTTAGTTTATTAAATAATAGTGAAATTGTACTTTGACAAACAAAATATAAATGTTTGTTTCAATGTTATTCTTACTCACAAGATATTGCTATGATTTCATGAATGCGCAAATGTCACATCTTATTTGGTCATTTTTTTATCCTGACTTTTTCAATTTTCACAAAAGGCACCATCTGATACTGATAAGCAATGAATGAATGAATCTTTGTAATGCGAAGATTATTCAGTGTCATTTAGTGTCATCTTTTTTCCCCATCAACCTGCGTTTTCAGCAAAGTCAGTCAGTGTGACGGATGGATGACCGAGCGGGGATTTTAAGGACTAAAGGAAGAAATAATTACCACAACTAATTGAACAAGAGGAATGGGGGCGGTTGAGTGTGTCCTTTTGTCCTTCATGCGGTCTACAGGAACGAATAATTGGCTCTCCAGCGCTCTCTCCATCTCTACCGCCCTATTTGTTATGCCAGGATTAAAAGGAAAAAAACAGGAAATTGTGAGCTCTGTCAGGTGGTAAAAATGCATTGACATGGCTGCTCTCCCTCTTTGAATCAAATATTGGATGTCCGAGCCAGCAACAAGTCTGAATTTGTCAGTGTTCAGTTTTTCGGCATGAATGTAGAAATCAAAGAGAGGCGATGTGTTACGTCTGCAGCTGTACCGCCTCTGCTCTTATTTTACTCGGTGAAAGTTTCTTATCATTGGCTTTTATTAAGCAATTGAGTCACGTTTTATTTCAGGATCATTTGTTTTCACGTTCTTTGAAGCGTACAACTACTATGGAGAAGTGTCCAGCCTCACTTCAGCTACAAAAAGAAGAGGGTGCCATGATGAATAACAGTGAGATGAGTGAGGGAGGAAACCCTCGTTGGCAGAACACGCATACTAGACGCAGAGAGGTCCACTGAGTACTGACCACTGGCACAGACTGTTAAATGTTGCAGCTGCATTCAGTGTACAGGACGACTGACAACAGATTATATGACAAAGGATGAAACTGATTAGAATCGCCTGAGCACTCATGCAAAGGAAAGAATAATCACAAAGGATTTGTGACTGGATGGATCTACTGAAAACTAAAGCTTTATTTATTCAAGTTGAACACGGTAAGTTAGAAATCACAATCTAGTCTTGGCCAGCCAGACGTATTCAATTTAATGATGCAGCTGATTAAAAAAAGGAAAATTTAATAAAAAACGCTCTGCTCACGGCAAGTCTGATACTAGAAATTTTATACGTTTTTGTCTGACTATGCAATTCATATTTTCCATCTACAATGTCAAGGTTTTTTTTACCATCCCTTTGTATTGAACTGCACCACTCATCCTATTTTATAGGCATACCGTAAAACACCACCAATTTCACCTCCACCCGACTGTAGAAAACACAAATTGTCTTCTTATTGTTCAAAATGTGTCATCAGTGAGTATTATCCGTTTACTCAAATCCAGCTGCAACCAACCGTCATTTCCATTGCCTCGCTTACTTTTTATTGCATTGGAGTTTATTTGGAGCAGTTTCTAGCAGGTCTGGCCTCTCTCAGTTGATTAGTGAGTAAATTTGGTTTCAGTTGACTGAGATTTCTCAAGATGTCTTTCTTATTCTCAAGAAACCTTACGAGCCAATCTGGTAAACACAAGTTTTGCGTGGACGGCCTTTTGTCAAGTCTCCAACAGATATTTTATAACGCATCGGTTCAACATCCGCACTCAGTCGACGTCTGTTACAGCGAGGAGAGCTGCTGACGGAGAGCCACAGATGCCTGCTGGCGAGCCGCTGCCTTACGAGCACCGGCCCATGTTGATGAGCGCTAATGGTGATGGATGCCACTGATGAGGGGGAAATCTTTCTCTCCTCCTCCTCCGCCCTCAGACCCGTTTTCCTTTCCGCAGTGTATCAGAACATTGAGACAAGCAAAGCATTAATGTCGCAGGAGCTGTCCGTCATCTCAGGGAAAAAGATAAAGCCATTAATCCTCTGCTCGGACTACCTGCGTCTTTTTTGTGTCGTGTTTTGCTGCTTAGTCCAAAAGAACTTGAACTGAACTGCTGACGTGTCCCGGTGCCTTTTTGAAGCTCGACCTTTTCAAAAGCCCACAGCAGTTTTCATAACATTTTTAATTCATCGGCCTCTAAATAAATTAGTCGCGCGGGACACAAACTTCATATTTGTTATTGAGCGTTAGCAGATCAATAGCTCCGGCTGGGATTAGAATACAGTATAATAACATCATTCCTAGTGAACAGTCTGGCTTTGATGCCGATTGTTTAATGATCCAGTACTTTACAGCTGCAATTGCTCTTACGTGTGTGTGTGTGTGTGTGTGTGTGTGTGTGTGTGTGTGTGTTTCATGCTGATGCCCGAATGCTTGATCATGCTTACGTGTCTGTGTTGTGGAAACCCAATAAAAGCAATGAGCGAGATGAAACCTTCATTCATCTCCCTGCGTCTGTCTGCAGGGCACTGCGCTGGCTTCAAATGATGCCTACCTCACGGCTGTTAGTTAAATGTCATTGCACCGCCGCACCAGATGGTGACGACAGAAAGTGTAAAGTAAATAATGCAGCCTTATGAATTCTAATAGCGTTCATTTTCAATCAGAGGAGACCCGTCGCTTAACGAGGGAACCGTGTTGTGCTGCATGAGGAAACCAACCGTGGATTGTTTTGCACCATCAGGTTCTTTAGAAGTAAAGGAGCACGTTCATTCTGTCTCCTGTGTGGAACATTGTCAGTCTGTAAGCTCCATTGCTTCTGTACATTACTGCTTGTCCTTGACTGAATGCTTGTATGATAAACCCAATAGAGCGGAGTCCTGTTTTCTGCTGTTGTTGTTTGAGAAATTCAATTTCCCAGAAGGAATGGAGTAAGTGAAGTACCTTAGCCGCTGTATTCATGTCGAAGAGGTATCACTAACTTTATGGAAATAACTTCAGGGTGGATGGGAGCAGGATCTACTTATTGCAGCGGTGTGGCATGATTTTATAGCCTCTTTGTTGATGGGATACGGAAAAAGGCAGACCATCGTCGTATTGCTCTTTGTTACACAACACACCATTTCCAGCCCCGCTCATCAAAAAAAAGGCCCTTTATGTTCCTCTGAGTTTGTTGCAACGGTGCAGAAGGAAGCTCTTTACCCGCGGCGGACAAAGGTCAAAGCCATTCAGACGTCTGAATATAATACCCGGTATTCAGCGAAAGCCACAAAACTCCTGTACCGTAAATGTGTAGCAATATTAAAGAAAGAGATAATTGTGCTTTTAAAACCACGAAAACGCAATTTGGGCATTTTCCACAAAAATGCAAACTTTGTTTTTCATGTATGTATGGAGACATTTTTAGCTTTTCACTTGATCCAGAAGAGTTACATTTGTACATATATTGCTTGCTTGTACTTTAGATTCATGGTAACTTGGAAACAAGGTTGTTGTGATCTATTTCTAGAAAATAAACTAATCTGTCGAATGCTGCGTTTTATCCTCAGCTCATCAGTAATTTGTCTCCCTTTGACGACGTGTTCTGCCCTGAAGGTCGAGCTCCATCACATTACTATTTGTAAAAATGGAACCTGATGGAGAAAACAGACACTGATGGGAACTCATCATTTACTTCACTTCTAATTCATATGTCATATGTTTTAGGCTTTTCAGCCACAGAGTTGATTTGATGTAAAGAAACAACCACTTTCAAAGGAACCTGACGTGAAGCCTCTTTGCACCCAATGGCGTAATCATTTCATAAAAATATGATAGCGTCTGAAAATATTATAGAAATTGCACTTAACCTGATTGAAAATGTAAGGAAACATTAAAATGTAATCAGTCGCCTCGCTGAAATCTTGACCATTAATGTTCGACCTTCTGAGGATGTTATTTTTCCAAAACTGATGTTATTCTAAACGGATACTGCAAAAAAAAACATTTTCGACTATCCAAAATGTATGCATGAGATGCTTTAAATTGATATTGCTATCAATGGGGAATAAACGTCCAGATTAGTCATAGCGCGTCGTCCATTGGAACCAGAGTGGACCTTAGATTGGACGCCATCCAAACCATCCTTATTGAGTGACGTGTATCCCTGGCCCTGTTAGATCTTCTAACATTTTCATTATTTTAACATTAGAATTCAGCCGTGATTTAATGTCTGTGTGTTTTTTATTATCAATATTTTGTGCGCCTGTACGATTTGCAGAAGAAAACACTCAAAGTACTTCCATAAATGTCAACAAGCTGATTTTGCAAATGCCAACATCATTAAACCTGGATCCGAATAAGCAGAATATTGATTTGCTTCTGCGTGCCCTGGTAGGGTACCTGGTGCAATGTGCTCACGCAGCCCGGGCAGTGGCGGGGTTTCTCCCTGCGTCTGACAGCGACACTGTGCTCCGTTTAGCCGAGCCGAGTTCTCCTTCCCTCCTGTAGGCTACTCGTCTCTGAGTTGGCCCAGTCTGACTCTGCCCCTTGCTGGCAGAAGCCTTGACTGCTGGTGTAATACTCTGATCAAAGCTCGGCAAGGACAACCTCGTCACCCACTGCAAATATCAAGTGGACAGTGGAGGAAAAAGTTGGGTCACGTGGAAAGACACCCCATTTTTTGTTGTTAGTATTGTGCTCAGCAAAGTATGACTTGAATTTTAATGGGTTGCAAAGATATAACCACTGCTTTTTATTTGCTGTAGCAACAAAATTGATGTTAATTTAACAAATAAACATCACAAGAGGAAAGCTGGTACAAAACGTACGCAGAACTCGACGCATCTGTTGATTTTATTTTACTTGTGAGTTGTTTTTAGTGACTGACCTACTTTGGGAAATAGAAACATGTGTAGGTTATATAACTCTGAATTCAAATTCCTGTCTTTGGGGGGGGGAATAACAAATGTAGGACACGGCCTTGCTTTTTCATCTCAACTCGCAGTGCTCCCTGCCAGTGACAACTTGTCTCGCCGATGTCACAACGCAGCTGCCAGAAGGTGTCTGTCTGGGCTTTTATCCTCCTCCTTCCTTGGTCTTTGTCTTGTCTCTCACTGGCTCTGTTGTCTGTCTCTCCATCTTAATGCATTATGGCCCCAGCTGCCGCATCTCTGCCACGTCCCTCCCTCACATCGGCGTTAACTTTGACTTTCAGCCTTTTGACGTTTTCACATTATCAAATTAAGTATTGTAGAGCAAATGGGTACTAATTACCTCTTATCGTTTTTGTTAAAATTGGCCGAACAGGTTACGCGAGTCCTTTCTGAAGACTTTCAAGCAGACAATATAATGCATGAGAAGACTAATGAGAACTGAAAGCGCACGTGCAAGTAAGGCTGCTGTGTCAAATATGAGATACTGACAACCGAAGTCACAGTCTGGCTCTCAAAATGGGTTGTTCGTTATCGTGTCTAAGTGGATTTTGTATTTTCAAGTTGCATTTGTTTATTGGGGGGGAGTGTGATACGGGAAACATGGCCATTACAGGTCCACCCACAAATGCAAACAATATAAGTTAACTAACACGCACTCTTATGCAAATGGAATGCATGCGTGACAGGGAAAATGTTGAGTGCTGGTGATGCACATTCAAACAATCCAATCCAATCTTTTCTCATCTACTCTCAGTAAAGCAAAAGGCCGACCTTTCTTTGGACAACTTTTTCTGTCCCTCCTCACTGGTGAAGCCTTTTTTAAAGAACTCCTTGGCAACCGCATGGTCTCCCAAACTTCTCAGACCTAATTAAATCCAAAGCACGTTATATTGCAATGGTGGTTCAGCAACTATTCCAAAGCAACATCTTACATACGCATCTTCTATGACTGGAAGACAAAATCCAGAATAGTATAAATATAACTCCAATACAGAAATGTAGCTAATCGTGACTGATTCTATTGACACTATCATTAGTATTAGCTAAATGTTATGTTTACTTAAATATAACCAAGGTGAAAAACCACAATCAAGGAGAAAATCTGTCATGTCACTGTTTTCTTTATTGTATTTTATTGCATTTGTTTTTTTTTTCATTGAAAGGCCGCTCAGCAAAACAAACATTTTTTTATTTTAAAGGACCTGTCAATGAGCGATGGCTTAATCATCTTAGTCCCTCACAGGGCCATTCAACATCCTGTTGGATTTGGATCTGGAGGTCGGAGCTCCCGAGGTTGGATGTTAGTTGGTTTAACTGAAGACTAGAATAGGTGAGAACGCTGCAGACAGCAAAAACGCACCCTAGCAGTTCGTATTACTTAATTTATTTTTAGTCCATTCTGGAGCATCCGGTTTATTATAAATGTTCCAATTAACAAATGACTGGTCTTCCTCCTTCCTTCATCTCGTCTCCTGTTCTTTAAAGTGACGTTTGTTTTGAAGTGAACCTGGTGAAATCACTTTACAGAGTCATCATCAGAATGAATCCCAGGGGGGCTGTGGGGGGGGGAAAGGCTCTGGAGCAGGACCACTTAAGGAGAGGCAGATTGATCACCTGCCATTCAGACGTCCAACGTGGAGTCGTTCACCGTGGTCACGATCCGGCTCTATGTTGAGATGAGGGATTTATTATTTCAGCAGGAAAGGTTAGCGGATGTCTGTCTGAGCTGATTACATGCACACTAACTGGGAGTGTTGAGGTGCTGTGGGAGCTCACACAGTCAAGTGTTGAAAAACCAAAGCTATCTCTCTCTCTCTCTCTCTCTCTCTCCTGTATACTGACTGCAGGATGGAGCAGACGGTGTTGATTCAGTTTTTACACTTCCTCTTCCTCTCCCATTATTTCTCTTTCTCACGTACAGTGCCAGTCAAAAGTTTGGACACACACTAATTTAATTGAATGCGAAACCGTGTCCAGTACTTTAAGCCCTTCTACCTCAAGTGCCGGACAAGATGTTCTCTTTTATATGTGTAGAACTTATTTCGTGTTTCTTTTCTTTTGTTTTCTCAGGTTGTTACTTTTTTTTAGGTTTTCTAACAGCTACTCTTCTCCCGTCGTCGTTTTTTGTCCTTTGTCGTTAACAGGCATGGCTGACTGAGATCCACGAGTACGCCCAGCAGGATGTGGTGCTCATGCTGCTTGGAAACAAGGTAAGGGATCGCGTTAAAGAATTACAAATCTACTCTGGATTAGAGGTCCACCAATAGTCGATTGTAAAGGCCCAAATAACGGCAATAGACTGGAGCAAGGAAAAGCCAATTAATCGGCTAACATGACGCACTTCTGTTTACCCCATTTTTACTCAATTTGTTAATTCAAATTTAATTCAGTTAAATGAAGTTACATTATTTATTTCCCTCATTGTCTGGCTGCTGTGTATTGTGGACAATGAGCTGATAGTGTACTGTCATACACTTTAGAAATAACTTTTGTATATAAGTGAGCTGAAAACTGTTCAGATTGGACAAGAATGCCCTTTGGTTTTATGAAGAATACGTCGAATATGAGCAATTTCCCAGTTGTTCAGAAAGTGATACGTCCATGTAAATGAAGCTTTGATACATTTGACACATTTTTTATTTTGTTCCATCTTTAGTAGGAACATTGGGCTTTTGGCTGGGTACCATAGGAAGTGTTTCAATTGAGAGCAACGCTCTATTAATTATACCCAAATGTAGACTATTAGCTTCCTTTTTCTTTTGAGAAGTTTGACTTCCTGTCTCTAATAAGGGGAAAACTTACATTCTCTATTTGAGGTATCCAAAAATATTGTTTTTTTTTATATCTCTTCCATCACTCAGTTACCTTATTGGCCTCACTAACAACATGAAGGTCTAATGCACACATTACATTTTTAATAAATGGATTTTTAACATCATAAAAAAAAACAATTTACCAAACCAATGTGATTCAATGATGATGCTTTTTGTTTCTTTCAAGCACACAAACATCCTGCTGATTTGTAAATACCATTGCTACACATTTGTTTCAATAACTGCCATTCACATCCCTCCTTCTGAACAAAGTACATATCTCTCTGTCTTGGAGGTCTGTTTTGTTTCAGGGCACCACACATCATATCATCTTAATCAGCATCCTGAGAGTCAATTAGCTTCCATCAGAGCTGAACACAGAGGAAAGCTTGCATGAAAACTGGACAAAGAGCGAGGAGATGGGTGGATGTTGTTGTTGGGGAAAAATGCGCACGTGTGACCTCGTTTTTGTCCGATCTCACCAGGCCGATGCCACTCACGAGAGGGTGGTGAAGAGAGAAGACGGTGAGAGGCTCGCAAAGGTGAGTGATTGAAAATTTAAACTTCGGCTACAAATGAGAACCTTCTGTTGTGGATTTCTCCTTTCATGTAACAGCATTTGTATTGCTGATTGCATTTCTTGTAGAGATTTGAAGATTTTGACTATTACTAAAAGGCGTCTAGAGATTTCATTCTGCTCGACAGTGTAGCACTTGCAAACAAAAAATAGAAGGCAGACACAGACACTGAGCTCCTATTGTCCCTCCTCTAGAATCAATTAACATTTGACGATGGCGATTTTTCATATAGGTTCCGGCGCTCTGTGTCATCATGTAGCAAAGTTGTATGATCATATGCAAAACCGTCATCTGCCATGTGTGTGTCACGCGCCTCCCCCGGGTGTTTCTTTGGAACACGTCACACCAATCGAATGGCAGGCAGCCATGCGATTGTCCCCAAACGTGGAAGCAATAAACTCTCGAGTCTGTGAGGGGGGAAAAGACCTCAGTTATCATCACTGAGGGCTGAGACAAACCCCCCCTGCTGGTAGACAAATGCATCACATCCGTGGTGGGTTTATTCCAAAATAAACCAGTTCATGATTGTGCCATAAAGATTTCTACATCATCTACATTTAAATGACCGTCTGGGAAGAAAAGTAATCTTCAATAATTGTCATAACTTTGACTCTTCAGGAGTTTGGCGTTCCCTTCATGGAGACCAGCGCCAGGTCAGGTCTAAATGTAGAGCTGGCTTTCACTGCTGTGGCAAAGTGAGTATCATCTTCTCTGCAGGTGATGTAGACAAGTCTGATAATCTTCTAAATATTTATAATTTTCTATAATTTTAATATTTCTGATTGATTGTTATGCAATTTACTCTTCCTCCCTCATTGCAAACTCTAGAATCCTTAAATACGCGAATATTCTCTTCATTTTAAAAGCTAATTTCTGGTGCATGCATCTTACCTTTGTCTCAGGGAGCTGCAGCACCGCTCTCTGGAGGATCCCAGTGAGAAGTTTAAGCTCCAGGAGTACGTAAACAAGGAGATGAAGAGCACAAGCTGCTGCAGGTCTTAGATCCTGCTCTTGTCATTTTCTGTGTGTGTGTGTGAATCATTCGTGTTCATATCATAGATACATTGTTCCTACCCTTTCAATCCTCCCCATCGAAGTCCACAATCCGTGCTGTTGCCCTTCACTCATCTCACTGCACTCATCTACTTTCATATGTCCTGCTTGTACTCCTCCATCTCTTTCTGCAGCTGTGAATGTAGCTCCAGGTTACAGGTTTGCCAAAGACAGTTAGACGCTCCAAAACCTATTAACGTATCGATTCATTTATTACCGTAGCTGCATGATATTTAGGAACGTCGGAAGCCTGCCCTTGCGTTAACTTGTGTGGTCGTGTTATTGGAATGGGATCTTCTTGCATCAGAATTAGTGGTCGTTTTTCCTGTAAAGTTGTTTATTTCCCATCAAATTAAAAACGTCGGTGACATTCGACATTTTGGTAGAATGCCGTCGTCTCGGTCAGCGTGTGGATAAATGTTCAGAACAGATGTAGTTTATAGTGATGCTCGTTCTGTCCATGGTTCAGGCTTATTGATTTAACAGGCTCTTTGGAGCCAATTTAGCTCACCAGGGTAAACTGTTTGTTATCATCATTAATTCCAATTCCAATCCACGAATTGGAGTATGGATGAGAAATGTTGACGATGTTACTCAAATCATGATATACAACACACAGAAGTGTATATCTCTTACTTTTTAATGTTACATTTGTAGTCACATTTTCAAATATACGTAAGCGGCTTTAATTTTTGCAATCATGAATATATTAATGGGGTGTATAGTGCCATGTTTTCTTAAAAGCATTTCTTACGATCACTACATTTTAACCAGGTCTAAAATGAAAGAAAAGCTTAGGCCTATTTTCTATGACTGTTTCTTTGGTGGATTGAATGTTAGTCATAGAAACTGCATATGTCCGTAAAGTATTTACTATACATCTTATGTTTTTCCTATCTTGATGTACACAGGAAGATGTGGATTTTTGGCTTTACTTTTTAATGTGCAACTTAACTCCTGTATCTGAAAATTAACAACAATAAAAAAATGAGCTCCTGGCTTTTGTGCATGGAGGTCATAGAAATGTAAATGCTTCCCTCTGTCTCCATCTACTGGATAAATGATTCCACATGAACGTAAATGCTGAAGTGGATTACTACTTTCGTACAGTTTTGCATCACACGAGAAAAAGGAATGCAAGCCAATCCTTAAATGTGATCAGGAACACTTCATAAAAGCAGTTAACACATTCAGCAACTTAAATACACAAGTAGAAAAAAGCAACGGACGTACCAACATGCGGTGTCAGCCAATACAGCATCACGCACTGAATTTAGCAAATTCATACATTAAAAAATTAAATATATTTTTGCTCTTACATGGGATAAATCTGAGCATCTGCAACTCATATTACTGAGAAAACATCTTTTGACATCTGAGCAGTGACAATTCCGATCAGGTCGCGAACATTCAGGTCGGCGCGATCCCAATGACTTCTTTCAGGTGTGGAAGTAACATCACGATACGGAGGAATCGGTGAGGGTAACATTCATCAGCTCGGGAGTTATTGGGTCTGTCTTAAAATGACATTGAATGCAATGATGGATCGTAAAAATCTCACCTCAAGGATTTTGGTCTTTGACGCACTTAGTTCATCAGAAAGACTTTCATCAGAGGATTTTAAGGCCCTTCTCTTCCTCCAGTTTGATGTCCCACAGCCGGGCTTCAAGCACTCAGACGGTCACGGTTTGTGCTTAAAATAAGCCGCTACTGCAGAGAAAACAAATACAACGTAAATCAGACTAATACATTGGGAAGAAAAGAGCTACATAATGACTTTCCGGGTGTTCGGTTTACCCGCATACTCCCGAGGCTGCATTGGTCTGTTGATAACGGTCTGAAATGCTGAGATCCAGTCTTTCTGATCCTCGTCGGTCTCACACGCAAACAGAAACTTCCTGTCTGGGGTCACGATGGTGATTCCAAACTGCCAGTGGTAGCCTTGCGTGTTCTGGGGGAGGCCGGGGTGCACACTGTAGCTGTTTTCCCTGCTGCCAATGAACACCTCGCCTCGGGCATAAGCGTCCTGGCAGCGGAGGGAGACGTGCATATATAGTTTAGTCATCTTGAATCAAACAGACACTTTTTTTTTGGACCTTGTCTCTGACGGAATAGAGATGGACTAATAGATGGTCTCAAAAGGTGTTAATACCAGTGGATCTTTGAAGTACATGAGCCTTCTTTCATCCATCGTAAACCATCTCTTCTTGAAGCCCTCTGTGTGCTGTGGGACAGAAATGAAAGCAGCAGGAGAATTCATAAAGGAGAGCTGGACAAATCGTGGCGTGAATGATTCATCCGTCCTGATCGGCACATGGCACCTTGCACTCGAAAGTCTTTATTATATATATATATATATATTAATTAATGAATACATTAATGAAAATTCAATAAATTGCTTTTATGCTCAGCAAGAGAATTGTATGGGTATTCCATATCTCCCTAACATATACATTGCATTGTGGGAAAAGTGATATATCCACAAATGTTTCAGGAAAAATAACAGAAAAACGCCTTACCTTTGGACCGGTCTTCTCCATGTAACCCTCCATTATATAGTTCCTTGTTAGCTTTGGCAACAACTGGACGAACAAAGAGCAGATACTTAGTCACTGATTTAACTCTGTGTATAATATTATTTTTGGAGGGGGGATTTTTCCTCTAACATTTAGGTCCTAACGACATTTTCAAAGCCTCCAGATTGAACACAATTCTGGTGTGTGTTCTTTAAACGTAAAAGCGAGTGTATTAATGTAATAAAGTTTGAATATACTGTTATTAAAAAAAAAGAAAAAGTGTAATTCCCCCCCCCCCCCCAACGCAATATACAAATAAAAGGGCTTTCGTATGTGCATGCATGTGTGCGTGCATGTACTCACATCAGAGATGGATGCTCCAGGAAAAGCCACCTGAAGGTAGTGAAACCTGGCTGCTCTAATGCCATTGAACCAATCCACCATTTCCTACCAGACAAAGCACCAGGAAGTTTAATAAAATAAACACTAATGTTTATCTGAATTAGCTTTTCCTCACACATGCCTCCTCATGCCTGATTCTCCACAATGACCGAGAAAACATGTACTTTTCTAGCTCTAAACCCAAAGGATTGGTACTGCATGATGAAGAAGTAGCATATTCGGTGTGTAAATATATAGTATGATATTTCATGCTGTATGAGTGTTACCTTTAACATCTCTGACTTGTCATGTCAATCTATGTCCACCAGAGGGACATGTAAACCCTCAGCTCTTTCTCTCCACTTACAACACAAGACAGAAAGGTACTGCACCCCACCTTTCCATCCTCGTGGTAAACAAAGATGTTCCTGGTACTGTTGTCTTTCAAATAGGTTATCTGCAGGCCCTGGGCAGTGCCCATTTTTGTTGGCTGGAAAGTGGCATTCAGAGTGTTGATCTTCATTGTTGCTTTGGGCTCTCTGGCCTGCAGAAAATAGTTATGTTTTTAGATGGATAGTAAATGGTTTTTATCTTCCTCAGAAAAAGCTTGTAAAATGATGCATAACTTTACCATATCTCGGTTTATAAACTGTGAACTGTGCTTTCATTGGGCTATAAAGACATTTTGGCGTTTTGAACTGGAAATTGAGTGGGATCTTTAGATTTTACCAGAACATTCAACCTTTTATTTGAGGCAGTTTAAACACAGATAACAGCTTATCAAATAGATAAAATGTGGAAGAGAACACTCACATCATGCTTTTTGAAGTACTTCAAAACACCTTCTCGTTCGGACAGAATAAATTTCCGGCTGAGGTACTGTCCATTGTCTCTGCCTCGTTTCCATAGAAACCCCTCTCTGTAGCCTGCCGGTAGAGGAGTGCGAGGGTCCCGTTCAACACGGAGCAGTAACCATAGAAAGGAGGGAAGACAGACATTTTTACATTAATAAATCAGCATATACGTGTTTTTTGCCCACTGGAAAAATATACATCCAACAAACATTAGACTTCCTCAGTTGTTAATTACTCTGCTACAGTAGTTAATATTTCACTGCCATTTGCAGAGTTTGCTAAAAAGCTAAAACTCTCTAACACAGCAGTCAAGCCTTTAGATCCAATATGCAAAAGTATTAACTGTTTTAGATGAATAGTCATGAATGATGTTGTCTTTCCCCCCAATTAAATTAGATAAATACAACTTCTTGCTAAATCTATTCAAATATATATACTAATGCTTTGTATAAATGTATACATCTTTACAAATTGTCATCCTAAATCCCATTAAAAGATCCAGAAACCATTCTGGCAGAAACCACTGAAACTCCTACAAACAGCAGCTCTGGCATTAGTGTGTGTTAGTGTGTGTTCGCACTTTTAGCTAATGTGGTCACAATGCAGCAGCTCGGCAGTGGTGAGAGGAAGCACATCGGTTTTTACATCATATACATATTTCAGCTTCAACTGCAACTTCCTCTTCATTCCTCTAGAAAAACACTTCTGGGTGTGTCTGCTAAAGCAGCATTGTGTCTCAACTAACAGCCAACGAGTATAAAAATATGTATATATATTATATACATACATATATATATATATATATATACACACACACACGTGTATATGTGTGTGCGTTTCAGCTTTTTAAAATCTATTCTAAAGCCATTGAACATTCCCCACACAAACAGATGGCGTTGCCTCTCTGCTCATAACCAGCGCGAGCAAACAGAAACAACACCTCTGGGCAGATGTGCATTGTCATTGGCCGATGCACATTCAAACAGCACGCACTGTTAATTAACTAACTTAATTTAACGAATCAGCAACTTAACAATATGCAAACAGAATTTTTCCAAATATCTATCTGTCTTTTTTCTTTTTTTTGGTTGTTAAATGTGGTTTTTGTTCCAATTTTTACGGCAGTGGTATTTATTATATTTGTTTTTATATTTTATTCATTTAAATAAATGTTTGTCTTCCGGTCCACTTGCACCACCCTATTTATTTCATTCATGTGTCCCTTATCTTGCTTCTTTATACAGTAATAAAGTCGTCATCGACTGGTCTGGGCTGCAGTAAACTGCTGGTTGAGCAACAGCTAAATTAAGTTTTCATGATTCAGAAACGTTTCCTCCGCTTCTGAGTGAGGTTTGCAAAACAACACTAACACAAAAAAAGAATACATTTACTGTTAAAACACAATCTCACAGCTAAATCCTCCTGGCATAAAACAGGAGCAGAGATACATGGAGTGTTAGAGAACACAAAAGAAGCTATTCTTCCTCCCCGGTGGAGACAAAACCTCATGCTCCTAAATGTCTGCGCAACACAAAAGGGCCTTTGAGAGAGGGCGGAGGACATGGGGGCACAGAGTGGAAGGGTTCGACAGTCATGAGACTCTTATAACAGAGCTTTATCTTGTCTACCTTTAAGAGGAGAAAAACACAAAAAAGATTTCAATTTTTTTTTTTTAAATGAATTTTGAACTGCAAGACTGCTCACTTCTAACCTAGTGAGCAATTAGCCTTTCTCTATCTAAAGTTGTTGTGAATTTGAAACTTTTGTGTGAACTTTTGTGTGAACTTGACACCTAGCTCCAGAAACTGCATCACGATGCTACAAATTCTTGCCCATATCGTCTACGCAGAAGGTGTAAAGTAACACAAACATATCTTTGAAATCTTTCAGCGGAAAAATCAGCCGCAGACCATGACCTCGATCCGGTTAACTGACTATTGTCGCACATCTTTCCGTTTGCAACACAGGAGTTGCGAAGAAAAAAAAGCAGTCAATAAAACCTTTAGAATATAATGTGTTTATCATCAGGAGAACGTGCTTACGGCATCCTGCTTCACTGTAAGACTGTGAGAGGCCACAGCAGGGCGGAGTTTCTCAAAACCAAATCATTTAACGAAGGTTTAATCTGCGTGGATTTATCAAGGATGGGACAACTCATTTAGATCAGGGCTGAAAAAAAAGGTGGATGGCCCCGTTTCATGTAGACATCCGCCATGCCAGTGGGCAAGCATGCACAGCACCAAGATTAATGTGCACGCGGCTTATAAATAGAGCTTAAACCAAATGTTGCCGTTTGTTCATAATGCTAAGAGGTCTACGGTGTATCTTCCTTTAAACTTGAGGGCTGGAGGTGGTTTTTAAAAGAGGGAAAAGTGTAAAAAATAAAGAGCAATTGTCTCCTGTGTAATACTTCAACTACCTCAACTGGATTCGCTTTGCTTGTAGTCAAAGGTCGATCTCTGGCATTCATCATGAAAGCAGTTCCAAGATTCCAGAATCTTAAAGATCATAATTGCCCAATCTTAGCATCCGCACACCCGCAGCCAGTTGCTTTACGAGGCACCCATTATTGATTAGTAAAGTAAAGGTGGCGTAACTCTCTCTCTCTCACTCGCTCTCCCCCATTTGTGTCCCACACGGTCGCACATGCACACGATTCAGCTCAGGAGAAACACAGATGAGGGTTATGCAACAAACATTTAGTTCCCCCACCAAGAATATTGGTTTCATATAAGTTACATGCCGCATTTTACTTGTTTGAATGTCAGTACTGATAAATGGAAGATTATTCCAGCTTTTCCAGTGTTGAATAATAGGTGGTGCTGCGTGAGTCGCAGAAAATGATTTAGTCCTTAATGAGTCATCCAGAGGTTTGTTTGTAGCTGAAGCTGGGTGGAGACGCATTTCGTTCTTACCTGCTGAGTAAGGCTCCTGCCTCTCCACACACTGGAACTCCTTCCTCTCGTACTTGGCTCGGATCCATTGTTCTTTCAGGAGCCTGCAGACCGGTCGGCGTTAGACACTCTGCCCGGGTTTGATGTTTACTTTACTGTGCTTGGGATGATTGTTTTTCTTCGTCTTTCACGCTCCGAACCAAATAATTAAAACGTTACACGGCTCATGTTCTCCTAATCATCACTTGCCTCATCGCTTTGCACTTTATAGATGATATTGACTCACACAAACATCTTCATTCAGATGAATTTATCTGGACTCTTTCTGCTCCTTCTGATGACTATTTTTAACATTCTCAAAGCAGCCTGCATGAACGAACGCCTCGTTATTTTACCGTGCTTGAACCGCGGTTTCCTCTTTAACATGTCTGCATGTCAATATCTTTGTAGGTCTATCGTTTTTATTCAATCATAACTTCCCTTTTTTCGGCCTTAAGGGATCTTCCTCCATAAACACAATCAAAGTAAAGTCTAAAATAAACTTCACGGCACATGTTTTTTTTTGCATATTGATATTTATATCACCAGATGTTTAAGTACAAACCCTACACTTTTAACCTCTGCCTTTAATTAAACAATTTAAATAAGATTTTAATTTATAATTTTATTTGCTGTTTTTAATTGTCTTTTAATTCCTGCATTTTATTTCACTTTATTGTATGAAATGTTATGATGTGAAGCACTTTGAGTCTGCCTTGTGTATGAAAAGCGCTATACAAATAAAATTGCCTTGCCTTGCCTTGCCTACAACTGATGTGTGGCTTCCTGTTCACAGGAACTTGGTATTCTTAGAACTGAGCTGTTTCTGCAGTCAGCCTGCCGGCCCAAACCACTTGTTGCCCCCAAGTTAATGATCGCATAAAATATCCTAAATACGAACGTTTGAGTCATCCTCATCCTATCATCATGCTTATGACAACCTTCACCGTCGTGTAGATAAGTATTAATCATTCTTAGGTGAATTGGAGACTTGAATGTGACACACAGCAGTGGAGAGGAAGACACACATCACTTACATGCAGTCTTTATGTGTAGGACAGTAGTAGAAGGCAGGAACTATCTTCTCATATTTGGCCTTGGCAGCATTGTTACCCACAGAGTCCATCAACTGCAGAGAGGAGGAAACGGGTGATTGTAAGTGATATCTCTGTGCATTACTGTGTACTCAATGACTTAATGCCTATGAGCAGACATTACCTCAAGCCCGGCTCGAGACTATAATTAATGTGCTGGGCCTCTAGTCACAAAACATTTGGGGGTTGTATGTTCCGGGTTACGTACGAACGAAATCACTTCATTGCCACAAGAGACCCGACGGCTTACCTCCACCTCAGAGGCGCTCCAGGGATCCAGCAGTACGGATTTCACTTTGCTGATCCGAGCGATATTTCTATGAAGGCCTGAGCAGCTGAGACACACAAACACTCCCAGAGTGTAGGATGCCCATTCTGGATCTGCAACACGACAAAAACACTTTTAGCTCCAACTCACCATTCTGATGGCTTAGCTACAATTAAAGCACAGCCAACAACCGGAACATGGCACATTATTGCAGGCAGTAAAAAAAAAAAATCATGCATAGACTACAAATCCTTATCAGAATATTTAGATAATAGGTATTTGCCAGTGGTGTTGGCCCGGAAGGAGCAGAAAGGTATTTGGAAAGAGTTAAGAAAGGGTAATGGAAGAAATAAGGAACAACTTTTGTGGTCTTTCTGTCTTTAAATACATGCAACTACTCCCTGAAATGCTCTAAAATGATTTTCAAAGCGTACCGTCTCCTAGACCTGGATTTAACAACTCGGTTCAGAAAACCCTTCCCTAGCTTCAAAGGTCATCCATATTCTGATGAATGTGTGACGAGCTCTGGATTGTATTCAGGTTTCAGAGGCCAGATACGTGTTTCTTTTCCATTTTTCAGTCTGGTGGCAGGTGTGCATATTTAGACCGGCCATCAGTGTTGTCTTACCTTGGTTTACCAACAGGGTAAATGTCTCCTTTGATACAGGAGTTACTCAACAGCCCACATGTGCTGTGCTTTGTTACTGCAACTAAGCAACACCTGCTTGGAAATGCAGGTGTTTGACAATCTAATCTACGGGAGGCAAGCACATCATATTTGAATACGTGTATCCTGTTGTCGTGTTCGTCATTGTTATATTATTAAAAAAAAAATGCAATGCGTGCTTTGAAATTACACCTACAACTGCATTTTTAAAGAATATTTGAAAGTGACATAACTGTTGATCAGTTACGTTATTCACGGCTACATAATGTTCACACTCTTTTGCATCCAACAACTGAGTCATAACAACCTCCAACATCTCCGCGCCGCCCCAGTAAAACATGTACTAAAGACCTCTGACATAAAGCAAACAAATGGAGAAAACTTTTTTGCAACAGTGTGTCACCCAGTTAGGTTTCTGCTCGAGTAGTTCAGTGAAAGGTCAGATCTTTCTCACTCAGGTAAACGCTTCTTTTGATGGGACCCAAAAGACTTTCACAATGAATCCGCTGAATGCTTTCGATTGGACATGAACATATCAATTTCGGGGTGAAATTACAGGGACCTGAGTCACTTCCAAGTAGTTTGCACATGAATGCCGAAAAGCCCTTCAACCAATGCTGACGAAAAACTCGGTGACCTCATGCTACAAAAATAGCTCAAGAAGAAAAGAAAAAAAGTACTTCCTTGTGCATAATCACAAACTTGCACACATGCATCTGTCCAAAAGAGACAAGTATGTGATGTGTGATCCTCTTGTCCGTGGAACAATCAACCAGTAGAATGCAGAAGTGACAACCACATGCATACAAAGTAAAATAACGGATGAAATACACACAGGGAATAGAAATGTAAAGGGGGGGGGGGGGCTGTCAATCCCAGTTTACTTTTGGACGGGAGACAGGTAACACCCTAATTGGTCGCCAGCCAATCGCTCAGTGTCACTGAAACGTAACACTATAAACACCCAGATCGGTGAGAAAGGAGGTGAGGAGATGGGCGGGGCTTTTCACAGCACTTCTGACGCCACCTGTTTTAACTCCCTGAACACCAACACTGGGAGCCATTTTACTCAAGAAGCAGTTGATGAAGTCAATGGACTTCACCACTGTGGATTTTACCATCGGGGTGTGTGACCACATCTGTATCCAAAAAGCAAATGAATCTGCAGATGAATACATATTTGAACCTTCAACCAAGAATACATTTGTAATAAATACCCCACATATATGATGTATGTCATATTTTGTACTTTTTTTAAATAATGCTTCTTCAGTGTTATATTCACTATCACAATGCCAATTAGTTTGTCTTTAGGCTGCTACCCAAAGTTACTTTTAAATTACGTGAGTGTCGTCATTATATCAACAATTACATATTTATGTATAAATATCTTTCTTTTTTTTCCTTCCTTCCTTCCAGCAATTACCTGCAGCTCCACAGTCGGCACAGTTTCCATTTCCAGGTTTGCCCAGAAGCCGTTTCACGCGCTGGCCGTTGTCTTCCTGATCCGATGCCATGGTGCCAAAAAAGCGCTTCTCCTCGGACGAGCTGCTCGGCGGCCGGAGGAGTCGCGGTGTCTCGATCCAGGAGGGAGATCGCCGCGGGCACGCGCGCTGCACGGCCGCATCAGGACGACGAAACGCGCCTACACATCCGATCAGGGCGTCATGTCCAGACGCGCTGGTGAGGAGCGGAGCGCGTGTAGTAATGAAGCCGTGGAAAACAATGCGTGGAGGTGCGTCTGTTTGTAGAGTGAGACCTCCAGCGGCCGTTGCGATAGTAGAAAGAAAAAAAACACTCGCAGTCCGTTAGATTTACTTTCGTCTTTCAACGATTCACTAGGTGTGAATTATCTGTTGTATGATGAATAAGATTTTTTTCCGCAAATGTTTTTAACATTTAACACAGTCATGTGTATTCGGTGGTAGCTGTGTTCCGGGATATATGCAACCGAAACATATTTGAGTCTACAGAAAAGTATATTTGTGCATGTGTTTCTAGTCTAATTGTAAATCCAACCCGCCGAAATATGATATTAGAATACATGTTTTTAAAACTGCCTCTTTGTGGTCTGATGCTGAGTAGATGATTGTGGTGAATGCTCCTTATATAGTTCGTAAGGAACTCATAGACAGACACTCAAAAATATAAAGGAACAATGTGTGAGATTTAGTGGCATCTAGTGGTTCGGAGCTTTTTAATGACAAAGTTTAAAAGTGAACAGATTCAGAGAATTATTAGAAATAATTTATAAATTAGATAGAGATGCATATTATTTCTAGATCTGTAAATAAAAAAATAGATGCATAAATAATATCACAGACATCAGATAGAATGTCTTTACTAATGTGCCCAACTGCTTTGTCTTGGCCCCCAGATAGGTAAAAATACATCAAACCCCTAAAATAAATGTAGTAAAATAAGCAATCCCAGTGCCAGAAAATGTAATAATTAAATACAAAATACACAGATGTATTAAATGTGAGTGCACAAATGTACCTGCTTTAAGGACCTATGAAGATCATTGCACCTTGTGTTCCAGTTATGAACACAGCCAGCATTGTTTTGTTCCTAAATTCCTTCAAGGTAACAGTAGATTTACAACTCTTGGTCTATTACAGGGGGCTGTATACTTTGTACCACATGTTAATAAATCAATTAAAAAGATATCAGGAAATTAAAGCTTGTAGAAAATGATGTATAATGATATACAATTCCCCAGGATCTAATTTTGCCATTAAGTAAACAATGGAGGAGCATGCTCTTTCAGCTGCAGTGAGTCTGCAGCTACTCTGGAAAAGCAAACACACACGTGCCCCTTAGAAACAGAATGGGATCATTTGAAAGAATGAAAAACCTAAAAACTTGACCTTGAAAGATGACATAAAAGTAAATTAAGTTATAGCCAATAAGCTTATTATAATAGCAAAGGCTTCAAGAAGCTTAGCAAACGTTTACACACTGAAGTCACACTCTGGACATGTTTGAGAAAATTTATTTTTTAAATGTCAAAGATTAGTACATGGTAAAAAGAAGTCACACTTTAAAAGAAGTATTTGTAGAAATCAGTCACGCCCAACCTCAGCTCGAATTACAACAAACAGCAACACAGCTTTCAGGGTCAACCAAATACAAAATATGAAAATAAAAACACTCATTTGCACAGAAAAAAAACAACATTTATGCTATCTAAATGCAGGCAGATGTTTGCAACAACATTTGATTTTATTTCTTGCGAGTCCAGGAGGTTTGGGAAAGCAACATCTCCAGCTGATCTGGTGTCAGAATTTAAGACAACACCTGGCAGGAAATCGTCTATCTGGAGGAGTTAGAGCTGGAGCGAGAACGGTGGCGTCTACGACCAGGAGATCTTGAGCGAGTACGGCGACGTGGCGGGGACCGTCTCCTCGGGGAGCGAGACCTGCAAGGACAAAAGAAGAAAAAAGGTTGGATTTTATATTGACAAAGAAAAAGTCATCCCCATATCAACATGTGTGATTCCAGTGATTCAATTCCAATGAGAGGGAAGCGGTCTCCAGTAAAAATAATATTTTTTTTTACACGTAACTGTACAGAGAACTCGATACAAAAAGCTGAAGCTGTGGACTAAGACAACTACTGTGGGGTTCAAAACAATACAAAACTGGGCAGGACCCACAAAACTGAAGTTACATTACATTACATGTCATTTAGCTGACGCTTTTATCCAAAGCGACTTACAATAAGTGCATTCAACTATAGGGTACAAACTCAGAAGAACAAGAAACAAGAAAGTGCAATGTCCTCAAATAAGCCAATTTACAATTTGCTATAGATGGCGTTACAAGTACAATTCAAGTGCTACAATTTGTAAGTCTTTTAGGAAGTTGTCTTCAGGAAGAGAAAGAGCAGATTTGTTCTCCCCGTGGAGACTGAGGTCCTTCAGTGCGATAGACTCCCGCAGGTCCTTTATTAGCCTGTAGCAGGAAGTATACGGTTCTTTGCGCTGCTGATTGGGTATGCTGCTGGACAATGTGGATTTCCATATGGATATAAAATGTCAACACTTCATTGTACTTGTCTACTTGAGACAACAGTGACAGTACAGCAGTTCACCAAATTCTAATCCGTTATTCTTTTGGGGAAATTCCCTCAAGGAAGATGGACAAGCCGAAAACATCGCGCCAATCTGGATGGGAGGGCAAGAAGAATTACGCGTAATGATGCAGAATAAATAAAAATCCTAAATGTACCTTCTGCGCATGCGTGGAGGACTGCGGCGCCACATAGGTGGCGGCGGAGGCATCCTGCGAGGGGGAGACGGTCTGCGAGGTGGGGGACGAACTCGTTGAGTCAGCACAGCAGATGCACTGATTTCTTGTCCATCAATCTGACCTTTAAATAATAAAGTTAAAGAGGAAACGATTGAACGTGTATTCCTAGCTCAGTAAATGTGTGAGGCAGAGCCACTGAACAAGACATTGTGACATACCTCCATCCATGTGTTTGAGGGCCTTCTGAGCCTCATCAGGACTCTCAAACTCCACGTAAGCATAGCCCCTGGACAGGTGAGGGTGGACACGGTCCATTGGCATGTCAACCATTTTGATTTTTCCATAAGTGGAAAATATCTCCTGGATGTGGTCCTACGCAAAAAAGAAACAGTAACTTTGTCAGAACAACATCAACATAAAAGGTTTATTATCTTTGACGGATTCTTGCAAAATAAGCTGAATTCATAGCAAGGAGCTGACAACAAAACTTATGTCAATTAAAAGCCTATATAAATTGTGAATAACTAGTGGAAATATCATGCGTATGGCTGACAACAGCTCGACAGTTTCTCAGCTGACCTTGGTGACGTTCCTGGTCAGCCGCCCTAAGTGAACTTTGGTTGGTTTAGGGCTTGGGCTTCTTTTTCTTCGCTCCTTGTCATCTCCCCGCTTTTGTGTTTTGGACCTACAGATTCACAAGCAAAACACTGCTTCAATTCATCAGGTCTCGAACAAGTGGGAAAAAAACCCCATTAAAGTCTATAAATAATGGGTAGCAAGCTGCATCAGATGAAGTGACTCACGCGGAGCGGGATCGGCGGCGGTTATCGTGGCGTCTACGACTCGGGCTGGGGGAGCCCGAGGAGCTGGAAGATGAGGAGGAACGAGAGCTTGAAGAACCAGAGCGGGTGGATCCAGATGAGCTGGATCCGCTTGAGGAACCTGAGCTTGAACCAGAGCTGCTGCTTGAAGATGAGCTAGATCTTGAGATGGTCAAAACAGAAAAATATGTTACAAAATGATACATATTCAAAGACACTGACGAAATAATATAAACATTATTAATCACATAAGGAACAAACCTGCTGCTGCTGCCAGTAGAGGCACTGCGATGTTTCCTAGCTTTCTCCCGTCCTCTCTCCTTATCTCCTTCCCTGGTACCAGTTTTTTCTTTGCCTCTGTCTTTTGTTTTTTCCTCCTCCTTTCGCTTAGTCGGTGATGGTGCCCTAAATTCAGAGATCAGATGCATTGTGACTGGTGTACGGCAGAGGCTTACAATTACTGTTGTTAATTTAACCTATTATCAGCAAGTAGTTAAAAGCACATGTTTGCAAATTGCAATTCCCCATAGCTGGGGATTATTTGAATCTTCAATATGTCTGACAAACAAATCTAAAGATAATCAAACTAGTACTATGCAACATGGGATTAGAAACATATTTGAGTTTCTGGAGCCCAGAAGAGGTTTTGGGCTGAATGGCTGTATAATGACTATGGGTAAGAGTTTATTAAACATTTGAATATCGTTAATCCTGCAAACAAAAGGGAGATGGCGACAGAAATAACTAAGAGTATTAAAAATGCAAACGAATCAGTCAGTAAAAAAAATGTAAAATCGGCACAAATCGGAACTAACCGTCGCAACATCGCAAGGAATTCCCTTACTGTCGCTAATAGATTTTGAAAAAAATCCGTCGGCTATAATGTTATTTTTATGCAGTACAGGTAAACTCTCATATCAATAATAGTGTATGTAAACCCTTAGACAAGTCAACTGTACTGCCAACAAAGGTATTCGAATACAAAAATCTGCCGCCATTGATTTTCATTCAACCGACTTCTCAAAACAAGGGGGACCGTGCCACGGGGAATAAGGTTTCATCGACTGCTACAATATAACATACGTGCGAAAACGGGTTTCAAACATGAAACAATACTCCATATATGAAACAGTATCTACTCTAATTGAAACTAGCTCGAACGCAATCGAATATGAGGATAAACTTACATATTTCTTTTACGAGGCGATTTCGATTCAACCACTTGCGTTCGGAGAAAACGTCGCTCAGCGATGACGAAAGAGCGGAAGTGACGTATCCACCTAAGCGCCACTTACGACTTATTTGTTTATTTACGTTCTTGTCGATAGAAATATATATTTAATGTGGGCGTGACTACTTCGTTTCTGACTAAAACGAAATACTACATATTGGATTGTGAAATGATTTAACCACTCGACATTCCATTGACAAGGTGAGCCTCTTAGACGGAACTATGCTAAGCTAACTGTTGTCGTTAACTAATGTTGCTCGGCTAACGTTACCGTCTGTTTTGGTACAGATTTAATTACAATACGGCATCTTATGACGGTATAGTTAAGTGCGACCACGGCGCAAATACTTTTCATCAATTCTGTACTAGTTTTTATATTTGTTAGTATATTTCTGATAACATGTAACTATCCCATTAGCCACCTCTTATTGTTACTGTTCAATCAATTAAATAGACATTACTGTTTACTTTTTTCTCTCGCATGTGCATCAGTAGTTATAACGTTAGATATGAGTTTCTTGATCTACTGGGATTCGTTTGTAATGGGTAATGACAAAAGCGTATCTTGATATGACACCATGCAAGTTTATTGTTCACAACAGTTCAAATAAAATATTGTTAAACCCTCATAAGTTTCAAAAGTTTTGTGTGCTGTTAGAATCAATATTTCATTGGTAGTGTCATGTAGTCCACATTGGCAGCACACATTCTTTATTCCCCAGTAATAATCACAGACTACTTTTGTTCCTTTTCATCTACATGTTCTTTTATAGATCAACCGCCAAACTCACAGAGTCCCTCTACAATAGAGACTATGGGCCGGCTGGATGATGCCGCCAAACTCAAAGTGGTGGAACTGCGGAGGACTGGTCTGAGTTTCCGTAAGATCCAAGCTGTGCTGGAGCTGGAGAACATCAAGGTGTCCGCCCAGGCCATCTATATGTTCCTGAAGGACTTTCAAGGGCGGCCGCCTGGGAGGGTCAGACCCATGGATGCCGGAAACCGCACATCTCCCGCACAAGTGCAGCCTCAATCCGGGGCAATGCAAGAGAGCTGGAATAATATTCAAATCCAAAATTTTCTGCGAGAAGCATCACACCATTCTGGATTTGGAGCAGCTGCCCATTTTTCCAAACATGCGTCCACAAATCCAGATACTGGAGTAAAGCCATCTACGTCTGGCGAGACTTGTGGAGGCAGCCGGCCAGAACAGCACCAAACCGAAGATAAGGAAGAAAATGACATCCAGATTGTAAGTGTCACCTCCCTTGCACAGAGCAGCCAACCAAGAGTTGCCCCCACATTAACGACAGCAGAGGCCAGTCCCTTGTCTACCACGCTTACAGTCTCTGGAGTCATGAGGAGGAGAGCTACACCCTCTCCAGCCACCAATTCCATGCTGGCAGCCCGAAAGAGGCTTTTGGATAAGGCTCTGTCACACAGGATGAAGGTAGCTACTTAGACACAATTTCTCCCAATTTTACGCAATTCCAATTGTTCATTTTATAACTTGTTATAGCCAAGACCTGTATGCGGACGGAAATTCCAAAAGCATCAGATCATCTGACAAGCTTCACTTGCACACATTGCTTCCAACAGTCACTCCACCAGTTCGCGCCAATGCTAAGAAGAGATCACACTCGGGTCCAAGCTGCTAATTTGAGAGGTGCAATGCCCCAACCACCTGAAACTTACGATCTGACCACTGAAAAGGTGAGGAAAGAGAAAATCCGATCTCCGTCTTTATTTACCTTAGCTAAAGTGTGTGCCTTCACTTAACAATGGCGGATGTCAGTCACCTTTTATAACCGGGCCAAATAAGGTATTGTTAATATTTTACAGCTGTTGCTGGCACCTGGTAGTATTCCAGCATATGTCCTCACCTGATCTTAGGAACCTGACTTACTTAAGATTCTGTGTCATTTTATTAAAAATGCATTATAACTTTTTACATTTTTCACCACTGTTTTTATAATATTTCTGTTATGTTGCACAGAATGCTGTTGAAGGTCAATCTGGTGGAGTCAACCCCCCCAGGCGTTTGCTTAAACGCAGACAATGTCTGTCCGGCAGCTCTCTCCACTCAATTCCTCAGGTTGGCGTTCGTCTTCCTAACCGGTCACCAGCAGCTTTACCATTCTCGGCCCCTGGGGTTGCTGTTATCCGCTTACAGACCCCTGGAGGCCAGGGCGCCACTCGTAGTGATGGGAACCCGAGCCCCCAGCAGGCAGTCCAGGACTGTAGAGGTGGTCTACAGGATCAAATTCAGACCCTGGGATCTGAGGTGCGGAGCTTGGGTCTGGCAGTGAGGATGCTGGTGGAGCAGCAGGGCTGCCTGGAGAGGGAGCAGGCGCAGCAAACACACATTCAGAAGCAGATCCTCAGCACTCTACAGACCCTCGCCACCAATTTAGGACGTTGTAGCGTTGTTCAACAGCAGCACAACAAAACTCCATCGCCATCTGGATTGCCGACAGCTACAGCATCTACCTCTTTCAACCAGGACACTTTCAACTTTAGTCAAGGCACATACACCCAGTGCAGCCAAACTGAGCCAGGCTTCCGCTCCTTGGAGAGTTTAGAAAATGTAGAGGCCTTTAAAGTGCCAGGACTCAGCCCTTCAAATATGAATGGGTTTCCAACGGGTAGCAATGCTGAGAACCTCCCACTTATGCCGACTCCCCCCCGCACACAACCATATGCAGCTGCTTACCCACAGCAAAACAGCCAAACACTGATGCAACCCTACACACAATCCTATGTTTCTGCATACAGCCAGCCTCATTGTCAGACTTTCAGGGGATCAGAGAGTAAAACTACTAATTTCCCAAGCAGCTGTTCTAGCACCCTCCAGGACTGTGTGTCTATCCAGCCAGTGATGGACTCTCACCACTCTCTGCGGAATCAAGAGATCAATATTGTCAAAGTGGAAGGAAAGTAGAGGCTGTCAGATACCACGGAGTGTTCTGTGACCATTAAGGCTCAGATATGATTTTTTTAGAGCCACTTTGGAATATTACATATTGGGATGTGATAATTATTTAATCAATCGACACTCTTGACAAGGTGAGCTCTTCAAACCTTCATGAAGCTGTGCTAGCTGTTATCTAGCTCGGCTAACGTTAACATCTGTTCGGTACAGATTAATTTACAATACAGACTCTTATAATTTTATCTATCCACGAAGTAGAGCAAATTGTTACATGTAGGAATTTAAACGTTTTTTCACAATTATTGTTTATTTTTTATCTATTTTTTTATCCCCAGGCATTACAAAATGTCACGTCTGACTTGTATTCTTTTATCTGAGACATTTCCATTAAAATATGTAAGTGTGTGACATGTATGTTGTATGTGTACATACAAAGTTTACTAAGGCAAGGGCAATTATTTTAGTATAGCACATTTCACATGAAGACATTTAGAACCATCAAAACATCAGGCAAAAGAAAAGGAAGTCTAAAAACAATTAAGTAAAATATATTTAAACCATAAACAATGTTAAACTAGAATAAAATGTGCAGTACAGTTCATAAAATAAAGATTACAAAGTATCCACTTCCCCGTTGAATCTGCTTCAAATAATACTTAATCTGAAGCGTGTCAACAGACCTGGGTTGAATAAATGTCATGACCTGAACTGACAGGGTTAAAGTCTAAGAGCTGTAATTTAATCTACAACCGGTTTTCCTCAATTTGACCACTCATGACCCACTGTACCTTCTGGGTACCTTTGTGTCAAATATCACTCATTTAGTCTGTCTGGTGTGTCTAATTTACACTGGAGGTGGATCCAATTATTTTGGAAACCAATCTCCTTTCTAGATGGCAATGATGATCCTGTATCGCACTCTTGACACAAAAAATGGACTTCATAATTACTTTAGTTTAGAGTTTAGAATCTGTAATCTGTTGAAATCTATACACTATGGCTGGGAACAATGAACACAGTTTATTCAAGCGTCACATTATTTCTATTCGTTTTTAATAGCCAACCAATACAGTGTTTTGAGAAGCCTTATATTCTATGTAATGCGGGTTGGTATCAGATTAAACAATATTGTTTTGAATTGTCCCTTTATCAGAAACCATGGAAAAGTTTTCAAATAACTGGATTCCACCCCGAGTTGGTTATATCTGCTGTTGTCATTACTGAGCTCAATCTCTTCTTCAAACTCTCCCAATTTGACTCTGTGATAATAGTGTATGTTATGTATGTTTGGGATGTGAGCTGGAGTTAAATGCTCATATTTTGGTGGTTAGATACATCATATTGTCTTACTCATTAGAATTTGGGTCTAAAACCACTACAGTGGATCCCAATGACTAAAGCACAACCTTCCTCACCAAACCACGTCAGCGGGATGCACACAGGCCCACTTCCATCAGTTCCTCCCCACATTCCATTCCATTTACCTTCCTAATTCCCCCACCTTTGATTCACTATATAATACATCAATTACAATCCCTGTACTGGCCAATTGACCACACTTTCTCACAGCTAATGAATCAAAAGTATTAAAATAGCTTTTCTAGCAGTTTGATTGGTGCAGCTGTAAATTAGCCAAACGTGAGAGAGTAGTGAATTCATGGCTCAAGAGAAACTTTCTGTGATTAATTTGGGCAAGTGTATTGTGATGATATCTCAATGTTTTAGTCGGTGCTTGAATTCTAACTATTACTGTTTGCTCTTAACGTGGAAAAGTACCATTTGACACTTTGAGGTAAGACCAATTTTGAGACCTACTTCATAGTTTGACCATTGTTCACTGATCTCAAGACGGTAAGAAGCTGATGGAGTGGAAAGAAAATCAATGGACAAATAAAAATAGTTTGTCGATACATGTAAAGGCCTTGGTAAGGTCTCTAAAACTACACCACAATTGTTAATATTCTAAAATGACTGCCTCCATCGTGACGCACATTCCATTTATTTAAAAAAAAACCTATCAAGGAAGATTGAGACAAATTATTAAAATGTTTCTATTAAAGTTCTTATCTTCTCATCCCACTGGAAGGAATCTGGGCAGCACAGGTGCGGGATCGACGTGTTCAAAGACAACAAAGAAAAGTGGCAACTAAAGGACCTGATATAATATTCATAAGAAATGTTTGGGAGGGATTGACCACAAAAGTGCAACTTTGAAACCCTATGATGTGATTGTATTTAGCTCATTCGCTTTATTATCTTAAAGTAAAAGGAACAGTGCTACAATTATCAATGAACCAGAAAAAAGTTTTTACAGAGTTTCACAATTTATTAATAGTCATAGTCAATAACAGCATACAGGTGACAGCAGTAAATTAAAAAATGAAAAATTGAATCAATTGCATAACACAATATAGACAACATATGTAACAAGACTAAATAGATAACAAAACTGTTGTTTTTTTTTAGATTACGGCTGGGATAGCTTTTTGAATAGCCAATATTCTTCTAGCTACAGTTTTATTGCAATTACTTAGTTGTTTTCCCTTATAAGGGCTGAATGGACCCCCCACAGCCAATCAGAATCAGTGATCTTGCAGAGCATGGCAATACAATAGTCAATAAATTAATAAAGATAACATACAATATGTATAATGAATCAATAACAATCTCTACTATCTTCTTTTGCAAACACATTGATGTTTTGCCAAATTATTCAAAGTAGAGTAAAGCTTTTCTTACAGCTTGAATTGTGCAGCTGTAGTTACTTTTTAAATAATCTACTCATTTTGAATTCACTCACGACTGACGGCACACAGCTCATGAGGTGAAGGGGCGAGGTTGAAGCCCACAGCTGGAGTCAGATCCAGATCATCCTCTTTAACTCCAGGTGGAGGAGTGAAACGGAAGCGCTGAAGGAAGGAAGTGAAGAAGAGGAAGAGCTCCATCCTGGCCAGACTTTCTCCAGGACACGCCCTGCGTCCTGTGAGGGAACAGGCTTTAGACAATCTGAAAAGTGTAAGTTGGTATTGGAAAGAAGGGTTAGCTTGGCTCACTAACCTGCACCGAAGGGCATCAAGGCGTCTCTCTTGACAAATTTCCCGTCCTTGTCCAAGAAATGAGCAGGATTAAAGGTGCGCGGGGTCTCCCACTCACTCTCATCCCACAAAACCGATGTCATAAGAGGAAACACGGTGGTCCCCTTGAGAAAGACACGTTAATCATGATTACAATGTTTTAAAATAGAGTATAAATTATTATTTTTAGATGCAGAATTCAGCATAAGCTTTAAGACTGTTTACCTTTTTTATAAAAAAGCCCTGGAAAGTCACATCTGTGCTGGTCTTGTGAGCAATAGTGACGGGAAGTATATTAGCAAATCTCTGCGTCTCATGGATGACGGCGTCAGCGAAGGGCAGGTTCATCCGGTCCTTTGCCCTCACCTGACGGTTCCCAACCACCCTGCTCAGCTCCTCCTGGACCTGGTCTGGAAATGACAAAATAAAAAAAGACAGTGACTACAAGCAAAGCAGCAGTGAAGCATTCTTTTCTCGCCAATTCTGCAGAAAGACTAACTTTTTTGACCAAATTCCTAAAGAACCAAGACCTTTGAGTGAACACAGTTCACAACACGTTGCTATGGCTACATCCAAATACTTTTCTCATGGTGGATAATTACTGCATCAATGGTATTGTGTAACTCTCAGACCAGCTGGTAGAACATTTCACTTTGGTAGTAGTACCAACCTAAAGAAGTTAGCATTTGGCCAAACATTCTCGAGTTAATTGTAGTTTCATGTTACTGTTTGGGAGTAAAAGGCAGGCTTGAGAAACTGTAAAACTATTTTCCTGCGATTGTAGCTATCAGTACTAGCTAAATCGAGCAGGGCCTCCCCGTGAAGCTGTATATTATTTGTATTACTTACCTTGAATATGGGGATATTTGGCCATGAGCAACAGACCCCATCTCAGTGTAGTTCCTGACGTATCAGTACCAGCCGCAAAGAGGTTGCTAACAGTCGACACCAGGTTCTCCATGTTGTAGTGTGAATCCGTAATCTTTAAATCCTTATCAACAGGAAAGAGAAATAAAATAGAGATATAATGAAAAACGTTTAAGAGTTAAACCTTTTATCAAGATACCATGATTGATTTTAATACCTCCAGCTTCTGTTTGTGTGCTAGAAACGAGTCCACAAATCCTCTGCACATGTGAACATTCAAGGTCTCCTGTAGACGTCCGATCAGCCGTTTTATTTGATTTCGGTTTTCAGTAACATTCCTCGTGAGACGCTTCCTGTTGCTCGTCCATTGAAATAACCACGGGTACATATCGAACAACTGTTGGAATTTAAAAGAGATTTTCAGCATGTTATTTGTTATCTTTATATTATGCATGCCCATGAACCCATGAGTCTGTAATTCTCATCATAACCCCAAAAAGGTACATCTTATAGTTTATTTAGTGAAAGGAAGCAAAGTGTTACCTTTGCTGAAGGAGAACCTGCAAGTCTAAAGTTGTCATTTACTCGGTCTACCATGAGTCTAAACTCTTCATCACTGTATTCAAATCTGCTGCCATAGACAATTGAACTGATGATGTTGGAGACTGCATAGTTCATTGACTGGCCAGTATTGAAGGGTTGACCTATAAACAAAAAAATAATGATGAAAAAAAAACACCAATAGGAAATACTTGTAAAGACATAATGCAATAAAGAAGACGAGTCACCTTGGTGTCTATCAAACACTTCGGACAGATACTGAATCTCCTCAATGATTTTATCCTCTGCTGCTTTTTTGCCCATCCCAAAGTCTCTCAGGTTGGTCAGAGCAAAACGCCTCATTTCTTTCCACGATTCCCCATTGCCAAAAACTATTCCATTACCTAAAGAAAAAATGGTAACAATTTTTAATGCAAGATATTATTCCAACTATATTAAATAAAATCAACTTACAATATTCAGAGGTCCAGAGGGTCTGTGGCAATACAGTGAGCAAACATCTTGGTCTACTAGTCTACCATCATGTCTACTGTTGCTACTGCCTTTGTCCAGATAAAGATGTCCCCACAACCATTGTAAAAAATGAAATGATATTCTATTACAGCTGCTAGGGTCCCTATCAGCGTATCTCCCCCCCCCCCCCCCCCTCTCGGGGGCACAGCTGCGGCTCATCCCGGGAATCACCAGTAGCTGGCATGAGGGCTTCACAGTCCCCAGGCCCGTCGCCAGTCCGTCCCAGTTCCCAGGCTGGTCTCAGGCACGTGTAGTCTATATTTTTGTAGTGAGTACACTGTGACTGCCGGCTATAGTTTATGTCATCTCCCGCGGTAGACCACGCATGCGTGACGTCACTGCCTTCAGACGTGAATTTATGAATGACGGTTAGAACGTTTTGTCACAACGATGTTGTTACGTATCATCTTGTTACACGGAAATCCTTGACTTTTCCCTCTGTGTATCCATCGTATACCTGCGCATCACGTAGACCACACCACTGCTTCCCACGTCTTTTGGGAAATAAAGTCATTGTTTAAAAATCGAACTGCTGTGCGCGTGCGTTTGGGTCGACTAACTACATCACTTAACTATCTGTTTACTTTGAGCTGACGTCAACATTGTGATTTAATCAAGGTTGGGCGCCGCCTAAATCATCTTATAGTATGAGTGAGTATTACTAAAATCATCTCCGTTATACTTACTTAGTGAACCACTTAAGTCATGGCCAGTTGGACTGACATATCTCTCTCCAAACTCCACAGCATGGTTGACCAGTGCCTGCTTCACGGTCTTGTATCCAGCCAGAACCACCACTTTCTGGGGTCCAAGATGCACTGAGAACACGGATCCATATTTCTTGGAAAGCTATGAAAGCAAGAAGCAGCATAGCATAGCAATTAAAAAAGACATGATATTTACATTGCCACGACATTACTTTGTAAAATAAAATACTACAATAATTGTATGAATATGAATGCGCACCATTGTTATTAAATAACCTAATGGTATCTGCTACACCCGATCAGACAATTGTTACCAATACATGTGCAGTAACGGAACAATATCCAATATCAGTATTGGCGCATGTTTTTTTCTCTTAATTTAAGAAAGTTATAACACATTCATTAAGTTACTGAGCTTTTAAATTTTTTATAAATGATGAAATGGCAAAAAACCATTTAATCCACGGGCGATTCGTCACTTTCAACAGCAGTTATACATTACATAGCCAATTTAATATTGCTTGCTTACCTCATAAAGTGTCATGTGAAATGACTTCAGATTTAGTTGCAGCAAATTGCCAAACAGGGGCAGTGGTCTCGGTCCCGGAGGCTCCTTTCTCTTATGATCAAAGTTGGTCAAAAATACATACAGGAGAAGTAGGATCCCAACAGTTCCCAGTAGAATAGTTGTACTGTTAAGCTGCAGAAAAAGGTTTTCCATCACAGCCAGTAAGCCACACTTGCAACAAAGAGGCTAGGCTGAAGCTTTGTCCTGATGTGGCTTGACACATCAGCCTATATATCCCCCGAGCTGAGTAGTCAATCTTCAACTGTTCAATTGATTGGATTACAGGTCAGCAGACCTACTAGGTTTACATTAGCTTGAAGCTGTGTCCTTTGAGTTTGGCTGCTAACCCAAAAAAAAAAAAAAAAAAAAAAAAATATATATATATATATATATATATATATATATATATTGTATACAGATTTATTTATTTCTTTTCAGTTTTCCCGCAAATTTCCTCATTAATTAGTTAAAATCATAGGGATCAAAATCGTTTAATTAAAGAAAATACACACTATTAAATGTGCATAATTTTAAGGATTTTTTTTTTAATTTTAGACGCATGCGTTTAAAGAAGGATATATGACGTCAACGGTGAACATTCAGGGTGTACTGATACATGAGGTGATTATCAACAGCAATCAAAGGAAACCCTTGATGAAAGCACAATACTTGAGAATGATCAACCTTTACACAGGTCAATCAATTATGCATGAGTTAATCTATATATGCACCGCCCAGTCTAGGTTTGTAATCACAATTTACCACACTCAGTAATTTTGACAAGTACAAAGTGCAAACTCCTCAAATAAGGACGGTTACTCAGTGTCACTTGGCACCTGATAGCAATGCACTAAGCTTTCCCAGTGAGCACAAGACGTAATTTCAACGTTGAAATATGGTTGAAATCGGGTTGAAATGAGGTCTGAACGTCTAGGACCTCATTTCAACGTCTTTTCAACTGGCTAAAAATGGGATAAAACATCAACGTGCGAGAAAACGTCAATTTGTTGACAAATGTGTCATGATGTAACGTTAGGTTGAAAGATAGACAATATTAACGTTAAGATTTTCATAATAATTAATGAACTGGTCGGCGAAATTTGGTCTACGCGAAGACGTAATTTCAACGTATTTACTATTTCGCTTAAAACTTCATAAATATGAAACTACGGAATGCGTGCTGTCAATAAGATGCGTTTAAGACATAATAATGCGGGCAGGTTCAAACATTACTTGTAAACACGTGACTCCGCTCACATCTGTAACGCGCATGCGCGAGTTCTTAGACGCCTGCAGAGCTCCGACCGGGTGCAGCACGAGGCGAAGTTACGGCAGCAGAGGGACATGAACGGGCTGATAGAACCACGACTACCGGCTCCAATGCTCTGTAAGTACGCGAGTGTTTGAATGAAGCACACCTGGAACTATAACCGGGTGTTTTACTTGTGCTGCCGACTCGATACAGGAAAGACGGCCCTTTTTGTTACGCTAGTTAGCGTTAGCGCAGGTAGTTTGCTAGTTAGCATGCTAGCTTGCAGCATGCTAGCGCGCAGCATGATGACCTGGACCAAAAGTAAACATTCCAGACATTTTTGTGCGTGTTTGGTGTTACTAATGCGTTAGATTGTTGCTGTACCCATAAATATTATTGCATTTCACATTGAAAAAAATACGTTTTTAAAGCAATGGTGGCTAAGTTGCATTGCAAGGGTGAAGGGCTGAATTTAACAAGTTGTGCTCTGTAAACAAGAGGCCGAAACATTGTAAGTTACTGCTGCTTAAAGCATGATACTGTGTAATATACCTGAAAATGTTACTCCAGAAATACCATAAGTTGCAGATGAATTGTTATCTTGTTTATAATGTAATAAGTAAACCATCTATAAATGAGTGTTCTAACACAACTGCTGCTGTTATTATTATTAGTTTATTACTGTCATCATAAACCCAAATGACCAACTTTGCCTTTGTGCTTTCCCTCCTCACAGGTTTCTGCGGGTGGTGGTTGCATCTGATGGAGGTTACGTCTGATGATGGTTGTCCCTGCACTGGTCCTGCCTTACCCCTGGCTTAATAATCCACAATATTAGAATCATTTATGTTGTAGGAATCGGATGTACTGTACATCTTTTAAGTTGTTCACACCTTCTTCCCTACTGTTTTCCCCTCAGGTTTCTCCAGGTTGAAGGTTTTTTACATTTTGGGGTTTAGGGGATAGGGTGTTGCACGTTTACAGATTGCAAAGCTGAACAAAATAAAATGATTTGAATTGAATAAACACGTTGACCAGAGGAATCTGCTCCGTGCACTCTGACTCCCTTTACACAAAGAATCCTCAAGTGAGGATGAGGGAGATGCAGCTGATTTCAGGTATACTATCCTAACTCAAGTGAGCCACATCTTGTTACAGAATCTATAATGAAGTTCCAATGATTCAGAAAAATGGTCTACAAACACAGAATTGTTGAACACAGAAATGTTGTTTCTGCACTTTTTATTCCATAATTTATTTTCCTGAAAAATATATTTTATTTCTGTATTGTTTTTAATTAGCAAAAGTGCTGTTATATGTATAGTGTTATATTTATAATAAATACAAATCAATAAAATAATGTGTTTGTCCTTGTTAAGGGATGTTAACATGACAACTGTGACTTAAGTATGTAACTTGTCCGTTTCCAGCGAGCAATTTATCCGTTGAAACAACGTTTAAAAGACGTCTATGGCCCGACGTTGAAAACGCGTTGCAAAATGGTTTAAAAGTGAAAGTTGTTTCAACGTTGGGCATAGACGTCTTTTAAACGTCTTTTCAACCAAAAAATGCTCACTGGGGTGTGGTGGAAATTGTGGATTTAGCCCTTGTGAGAAATCTAAAGTTTGTGATTAACTATTTATTACTAACTAGAATAAAGAGAAATCATGAAAAATACAGAAATCATCAACACAAGGTGTAACAATTAAAAACTGACAGGCTTGCTTTGCCACTAACAAAAGTGACAATAGAGGGAAACTTGAAGCTTCTGACCATTGACAAAGGCTGACGATTTTGAGCATTAGTTTTTGTTGAGTTGTGCATTAATCAATGGTTAATTGCTTATTGTAAGTTCCTCAGTGTTTCCCGGCTCCTAAAAATCTAGACGGTTGATAAGAATTAAGTTAATCAACTCTATAAGTTTGAAAAAGTTGATCCACGCTAGATGTTGATTAAATCAAGCTTGAGCAAGATGTCAATCAAGTAGGTGAGCAGAACAATCCTGTTCACTGAGCTGGGTTAAATGAGTGTCTGCACAGTTTTCATGAGGTCACATCAGTCTCAATAATTGCAAATGCACGCAGAATGACTCACAAATGCAAGCCGGAAATGTGCCCTCATTTCCAACCAGTCACAAGAACGTGTTGTGAAATTACGTGCCAAATAATATGACTCCTGACCCATGTGGAGGCCTGTTCTCTATTTTATCAGGCCTTAACACACAATCAAAAAATATTCTTCTTTATTACTGATTCATGATTGGAATTAAGTTAAATTCAGTGCCGGGTAGAGCAGTGAAATTAAAGCACTGGAGGATGGAGGTGAAGAAGAGAAAGAGCCAAATAAAAGTACATTTTTGGGTCTGAGTTCACAATTTGGGGTTTGTTGTGGAATATTTCAATAAACGCTCGGTAGAAGAGAATGATTTGTCTGATAAAACAGTCTTGATGAATGATCAAAGATGCAAAAAGTCCATTTATTGCTTTCAAGCACGAGGTCAAATACACAGGCACGTATCACGGTGCTCTGTGGAAATGGCGTCTCCGAGCACTAAAGACGCTGAGTTTTTATACACATGTGAAGAACATTCTCCGTGCCAGCTACGAGACGCTGCAAAGCAGGTTGAGATAAGAACCCAGGTCTAGCTGAGGGTAGCACACACACACACAAGATCCTCCTCAGTGGCCGCTGCAAATCATTATTACTTGACATGAAAGTAAAACTTGGATCCAGAACTTTCGTACCGAATAAGATATCAACCAAGGCCATGAACAGGAGTCCTTTGTTTTGAAGCTTCTATGAGATCGAGTCAACCGTCCTCCCTTCTCGGGGCACAGCTGCAAACTAACATTTTGTATCATGCTGCTCTTTGCACATCGGGGTCAAATACAGGACACTTGAGACACGGCTTTAGCACAAGACAATGTTATAACATTTTTACCATTACATTCCACTCTTTTGATTATTCTTTAATCACACATAATATTGCAAAAAAAAAAATATGTTTTTGTGAAACCATGTCTCGTGTTTAGCAAGCAAATGTAAACCACTCTTTAGATAGCTGATTACAAAAATCACAAAAAGATACTTAGATAATGAAACCGAAGCAAGCAATAATATGAATAAAACCATAGTGACACAAACGACTACTGTGTCTATGTGGAGGGGTCCTGGCCGTGTTCTTCTTGTGTTGGTCCGCAGGTACACGTTGGGATGTGGAGTCTGCCAACCTTCTTTCTTGTGAGGCATCCGCGTTGTAGACAGTCAACACAGATCACAATGCACTGTGTGTCTGTCGGTCAACTGCCCGTCCGTGGTCACTGGATCGGTGGTTGGTTGACACTTGTTGTGGGGGTAGGGTCGCCTGAGCCCACTGATGGTACTGGAACCTTCTTGCAATGGGACACGTGGACCCAAGTTGCCTTCTCAGCTACTTTGACAGCTGTTTGGGTGACAAGGAGGATCTGGAATGGTCCCTGCCAGCGTCGTGCTTTCCAGTTTTTTCTTCTGAAGTCTTTCACCACCACAAAGTCACCAGGTTTCAGCTTGTGGAGTGGTCCTTCAGCTGGTTTTGGGAGGGCGGCTGCAAACTGTTGTCGTATGTTAGACAGAGCAGAAGAGCGTTGTGCACAATATTTTAACATTTCATGTTCGCATAATGCGGTTGAAGGGGGTGGTGCCGTCGGTGCCTCGGTTCCTACGTGAGGAGGAAAACCAAACAATATCTCAAAGGGACTCAGGTTGCTTCGTGTTCGTTTTCTCATGCGCATGTACATCAACACTAGAGGCAGGGCTTTTGTCCAGGGCAGACCTGTGTCTGCACAGCATTTTGCCAATTTGGTTTTGAGTGTGCCATTTTCTCGTTCCACAGCCCCTCCACTGGCTGGATGGTATGTGCAGTGTGTTTTTAAATCAATACCCAGGTATGCGCCTAATTCTGTAATGGCTTGGTTGACAAAATGAGAACCATTGTCACTTGATATTTTAGAAGGAATGCCCCATCGAGGGATGATTTCAGAAATCAGGGCCTTGGCTACTGTTGTAGTGGTTTGTTTGCTTGATGGAAAAACCTCCACCCACTTGGAAAACATGTCTACCATCACTTGACAGTGTTTCTTACCTTGTGATGGAGACAACTCCACAAGATCCATCATAATGTGCTCAAACGGGCGGGTTGGTCGTGGGTGTGCAGCCTGGCTGGACACGCCCACGGGCCTGCCTACATTGTGAGTAGAACAGGTGACACATGCAGAACAAAATTTTTGTGCATATGCTGTGAACCCTTTTGTAAACCACGTCTCATTAAGTGCACGTAACATTCCCCCTTTTGACACATGGTCTAACCCATGAGTCAACTTAGCATAATGAGCAAAATAGTGTTTAGGTAAACACGGCTTGCCGTCGGGTCCAGTCCAGATACCATTGGTGTAAACACAGCCAGATGTGGACCAAAGCCGTCTTTCATCAGGGGTAGAGAGTGACTGCATCGCTGTAAGAGAGGAGGGAACTGACTCCTCAGAGCACAGGTAGTGGGAAGCGGAAGCAGAGCACCAGCTTTTGCAGCCGAGTCTGCTCGAGCAGCATATATACATCATCCGTATTGGACGTGTGGGCAGCACATTTACAGACAGCAATAGCTGTGGGTAGCAAGATAGATTCCAACAGTTCAGCAATGAGAGTGTCATGTAGGATGGGCTTACCGTCCGATTTAAGGAAGTTCCTGTGTTTCCACAGCACCACAAAATCATGTACTACACCAAACGCAAAGCGAGAGTCAGTGTGAACTGTGACTGTTTTACCCGTAGCCAGTTTACAGGCCTCGGTCAGAGCGATGAGCTCGGCTGCCTGGGCTGAGAGGTGACATGGCAGAGGACCTGAACACAGCACACCAGAAACAGCAAAACCAACACGATTTTCACCAGACGGAGGATCGCGGGAGGCGGATCCATCCACATACATTACCATGTCGCTGTTAGTGGACACTCCATTAACTAGGTCAGGGGGAGGAGTGCACTGAGCTTGAAGCTCAGCCAAACAGTTGTGGTCCTCCTATCCCCAGGAATAGGAAGTAATGATGCAGGATTAAGGTTAGTACAACGTTTATAGTGACATTCGGCATGTCCAGGAGACACGTGTGGTAACGCAAATAGCGAGCCGCAGAGAGGTGAGATGATTTCTGTTCGAGGAGAATCAAAGAAACCGCGTGCGGAACGAGCAGAGTGAGTGGTGCGTAACCCACTATGTCACGTGAGGCAGTGAGCGCCTTTTCAGCCGCGGCCACAGCGCGCAAACATTGTGGCAGTCCTGCAGCGACAGGGTCGAGTTTAGCGGAGAAATACGCAACAGTGTACACAGCGAGTTCTGTGAAACCCTGTAGAGGCGGAGCGCAGAACGAGCGGATCGATTGTCTCCTCCCAGTCAGTGAGAGATTCACACTGAGCCACAAATGGTCCCAAATCCCTCCATTGGTCATGGCGTCCTTTAGACAGTGAGACATGGGGATAGGAGCCGGGAACTTGAAACAGTTCTTTCTGTGTGGGAGACAGAAATAGAGACAGCAGATTTACAAGTTGACCAGTACAAAGTAGAACAGGCAATTGCATCATTGAGGGCCTCAAAAAATGTCTCTTCAAAAGAGCCGTCTGGACCCTCTGAGACACATGTTGTGCAATGCAGGTGTTCAGGGTTCATACGTCTGCATGAGGAGAAACCCGTGCTTCACCAGCCTGGCTCAGCCTCCGAGCATCATCGATCGGGATCCACCACTGATACACAAAAAGAGGATTAGAGGGAGCCTTTTGCACCATTTGGAGTGCGGCTCTACGCCTAACCACTTTAAGGCCGTCTGGAGATGACGTCAAACAAATACCACATGTACACATCAAGTCTCTGCCCATCAGATTTATGGGACAGAGTGAAGAGAGTAAAAAAAAAAAGTTTTACTTTTATGTCAGGGTTTAGGTCAGCCTCGTCAGAGTGTACACTCGTCATAGGTGCAGTAAATTTTTCTGTCACAGTCAAACCAGAAGCCCCTTGAGAATATACATATCGCCCACTCATTTTTTGATTTGGAAAAAGTTTTTCTTAAATTACTGAATGAGTAGCTCCGGAGTCTACTAAAAACGTCAATTCTTTCCCTTCCACAATTACTCTTGTAGTTGGCATATCTTTGTATGCATCTGATGAAAACATAGCATACGTGAGTGGTGGTGGTGTGGATGTATTCTGTTGCTGTTGCTCTAAGTGAGAAATGATGCTGAGCAAAACAGCATGTTGTTCTGCAGTGTGCGTGCGAGGAAGCAGGTCTTCATTGCAGCATTGTGTGTGCATGTGTATGTGGGTGTGCGTGCGAGGAAGCAGGTCTTCGTTGCAGCATTGTGTGTGTGTGTGTGTGTATATGTGGGTGTGCGTGCGAGGAAGCAGATCTTCGTTGCAGCATTGTGTGTGTGTGTGTGTGTGTGTATGTGGGTGTGCGTGCGAGGAAGCAGGTCTTCGTTGCAGCATTGTGTGTGTGTGTGTGTGGTGTGTTTCACTTCCCTGTTTTGGAGAGGCAGCAGTAGTCATCCCTTCACACGTGCAATCTCCATCCCACACACACCGTCAGTCTGAAGTGCCGAATTGTTGACCCCCTCTGTCAGTCCCGGAGTGGCGTTGTCGTCCACGTGGCTGACGTACCTGGTTTGAACGGGAGGGGCAGTCTTTGTACCAATGTCCTGTTTTGCCACAGAGGAAGCATTCATCGGGTTGCACTTCCCGTGGGGCCACTCCTTGAAAACGCCCTCTTCTCCCATGATTTATTCCATACGCTCGTCCTCTCTGTTGGTCCCTCCCATAAGAATTTCCAGATGGGTGGGGGTCTCGTCCTCCTTCACTTCTGTGAGCCTTGCATCTTCCAGACCCACGACAGAGTGTTCAGTGGCAGTTTTGACGTCTGGCAGAAGCCCGTTCATGAAGGCGTTCTTGAGACGAGTTTCCCACACAGTCATGTTGGTTATGTCTGTGGGCTCCTCGAGGCCGCTGTGAATCTGAAAGGCAGCCACAAGACGCTGATAGTAAAATGCTACATCTTCGGCTTTACCTTGTTTCGTGCTGTTGATGAGTGCCATGTTGACTGGGAAGGCCGCAACCACAGCAGCACAGATGGCTATTATGTCTTTGCATAACGTCAGGAACTCTTTTCCAAAAGCCACGCCATTTTTATGGTGGGCAGATGGGAGGCAGGTAGTCCATCCTGTGGCCCTGGAACTTGAAACATGGGGGCTTGAATATAAGACCCATCCAGTTTACTGTCCATGGTGGTGTTAGGACTAAGAAAATCCACAATTCTGCCGGCTGTGCCCCTCCAGGAGGATGGGTCGTGGATTGACCATGCAGAGTCCGGGGTGGACTGGGCTGTGGGGTCAGGTCTGAATGGGTTGAGGGGTGAACATGATTAGGGATCCTCCCTGGTCTCCCAGCCGGGTTTGACTGCGTGTTACAGGTCTCCCAACCGTAGGATCGGGGTTGTACGGTGGTGGTGATTGTTGGACTGGAGGTGGTGCAGGAATTGGATAACACGTGTTCAGGAGAGGACCGCCTGCCCCTGTCAGGGATGGATACAATGGAGAAGACACACATGGATTATTCTGTGTTTCAATGTCAGATTTTTCAGTTTTTAAACACGTCATTTTCTTCATCATTCGTTTTCTCTCCCTGCATTCACATTCCATTTCCCCATTGTGCCAGACATGTCTGGTTTTTCTCTATCATTTCCAGGTCTTTAACTTTGAGCTTTTTACCACTTTTCAATTTTTTTAATTTTTTTTTTAACCTTTCTTCCAAATCCCCTCTTAACAACAAGTTTAGCGGCACTCAACGAGCCGTTTTCTGGAAACCCAAACTCTTTTGTCCAGTATGGGAGACACTCTGTACATGTTTTCCCGTATTTCTGCTGCATCATTGCCACAATCGGACCCGACGTTCCGTGTGTTTTGCGGACTGGCCACCCATCTTTTACTGGTGGACCCTACCGGTTTACTTATTACAATAAGTCGTCACCGTAAGGCTTAGTTTCTTTACTCAAGGAAAAACCCCACTCAAAACTCACGCTTCGATTTTGCCACGATCTTGTTCTAAAGGTAATTCAGTAGAACTCACGTTTGGTTAACAATAACAGTGATATCGTTTTACCTGCTTCAGCATAAAATTCACGTAGGCCATTTCCACGATCTTATTCCACAGGAGGAATTCACGTTTGGTCAATAGCAACGGTCTTATTTTACCCGGGTAGTCAAGCGATCTGCGTCACGATCTCGGAGAATTTGTTCCGAGTGAAATCTTTACCGTAAGCAATCCTGTCTTCTACTTGTAGTCTAGCGATGTTACGATCTCGGAGAATTTGTTCCGAGTGAAATCGTATACGATCCTATCTACCTTCGCATAAAATGATGCATTAGAAATATCCCAGAATCATGTACTGAACAATAAAAAAAAGATAATTGTATTCCCCAGACTATAACAACCACTTGATCAGTCATCCGTTTCCGTTATGTTCAACTCTTTACTGTTACTTTATAATCGGAATTTCAACTTCTTACCAGAGTCTGTAGAAATTAATTCTTTTTCGCTGGATACACGTGACGTCAATCAGGACTCCTCTGGTTTCCGCCGGTCCTTTCTTGTCTAAGGAGGTATGAGGCAGGATCATCAGCTAGTGATGCTGGAAAGGGCCCTTTCCCCGGACGGTCCCCTGGAGCCTGACGGACGGTCAGTGAATCCTGTTCGTGACGCCAAATTGTTGTGGAATATTTCAATAAAAGCTCGGTAGAAGAGAATGATTTGTCTGATAAAACAGAGTCTTGATGAATGATCAAAGATGCAAAAAGTCCATTTATTGCTTGTGTGGCAGCACGAGATTACATAATCGCGCCAATTTATGGCAATTTAACTACAGTGCCACCTAGTGGCAGAACAGGGACCAGCAACGCCACCATGGGAATTTCACCCAGAGAATACTAACTAATAAGGTCACGCAGGTAAGTATCACAAAAGATGCCAAAGTCGTGGTTCAATGTACAAAAAGGGGTTATAAGTTTATTACAGTAAAATACGAGGATCCATAAAACAATTTAAAACACGCTCACAATCTCCACAACAAAAGGGGAATTAATGGGGGTAATAATGGTCAAAATAATAAACAAAATAATGAACGCTGAGGCTTACCAGTGGTTGTGGAGGGGACACGAGGGCAGCGGGGGAGGTTTCAGGAGAAGACACCCGTGAACACAAAAACGAAATAGTGAGCACAGCAAAACAAATGAAAACGAAAGACCACAGCAAACGAGCAAAGGGATACCACCACCGGGACACCACACCACCACCTTCGGCGTTCAGCTCTAAAAAAAAAGAATAAAGAAACAACAAAACGTTAAACACGCGTACATACAACCGGGTTCACTCACCCGGTTATAAAGAAACAAAAATACAGAACAAACTAAACAATAAAGAAAACAAGATAACTCCGTCGTCCCAATAAGTCAAGGGGAAGATCGAACGTCACGCTAAAATTGTTCATCCGGGTAAAGCCGTCCGAGCAAAACAGTGTAGGCGGTCCGGCCCAAAACGATTGAGGCAACGCAGTCCAAAAAAACACATGTACGCAAGGCGTATAGGCAAAACAGCAGCTAGTTGGACTGCTAACGGTGGCCAAGATCCTCCGGTACGACCGCCCAGTCCCAATTGAACAAGTCACTGACGTCGCCGTGGAGGAGACAGCTCGGGCAATCACGCCGCTCGGCAAGCTTCGTGGCGGTCGCTCTATGTTAGGGAGCTACGCGGCTCCGACAGCCGGGGATCTATGGGGATCACATAAGATATATAAAAGGCAGCTGACGGCAGCAGCGAAATAAAGTGCGCGGAGACAGCCAGTTCACCACCTTACCTGTAGCAGCGCCGAACAACCATGCAGGGTGAATGACGCGGAAGACTGACACAGTTCCGTCACCTGGCCAAGAGGGCGATAGGAGGGAGGAGACTACTGTGGTTTGTTTATACCGGTCCCTGCGCTCTGATTGGTCCCGCGGGCATCCGGTGATTAGGAGTCTACTCCTACTGCTACAATCGCAAGCAGGAGGTCAAATACACAGGCACGTATCACGGTGCTCTGTGGAAATGGCGTCTCCGAGCACTAAAGACGCTGAGTTTTTATACACATGTGAAGAACATTCTCCGTGCCAGCTACGAGAAGCTGCAAAGCAGGTTGAGATAAGAACCCAGGTCTAGCTGAGGGTAGCACACACACACAAGATCCTCCTCAATGGCCGCTGCAAATCATTATTACTTGACATGAAAGTAAAACTTGGATCCAGAACTTTCGTGCAGAATAAGATATCAACCAAGGCCATGAACAGGAGTCCTTTGTTTTGAAGCTTCTATGAGATCGAGTCAACCGTCCTCCCTTCTCGGGGCACAGCTGCAAACTAACATTTTGTATCATGCTGCTCTTTGCACATCGGGGTCAAATACAGGACACTTGAGACACGGCTTTAGCACAAGACAATGTTATAACATATTTTTACCATTACGGGTTCTATCCGACAATAGCTATATTTTACTTATTGTTTAAACTAACTCTCAGACACATGCTCACAGACACAAAAACACACACACACACACACAAAAAAACAAGAACGATCTACGAGCTCTTGTTTGAGATTTTGCGGACCAGGTGCGAGACAAAACAGGGGATCAGAACACCCACAACCCCCCCACGGAAGCCTGGGTCCTCCTGAGGGTCATTAAGAGAAAGTGGTCGGAGCCGCGGTGGACAGGACCATACCAGGTCGAGGAGAGAACTTCACATGCAGCGAGGCTGAGAGGGAAAGGTAATACCTGGTACCACTGGAGCCAGTGTGCCACTGCAGAGGAACCAGCTCGCACTCTCCAGGACGTCCTGAAGGATCAGGAGAAAGAGGCGGCAACGGGCACCGGAGGGTCCCCAAACGCACTCTTAACGGCAGTTGACCGACAGACACCCAGAGCCTGGTGATCTGTGTCGACTGTCTACAAACAAGAAGACCAAGAATAAGTGTATAACTATCCTCTCCTCTGTTCTATCTTTCTCAATTCTCCGCATTAGTTTAGCAAAAAAAAACAACAAGACACAATCCCGTTATCGGCCTGGAAAGGAGGCAAGATGAGGAGGCTGATCCGGCAGACGTTCTCCAGTAGCTGGGGTGATCTCTGAAGAGATCAAAAGGGGGAATTGTGAGATGCATGTACTGGTAAAATATATTATAACATTGTTTTGTGCTAAGGCCGTGTCTCAAGTGTCCTGTATTTGACCCTGAAGTGCAAGGAGCAGCATGATACAAAATGTTGCTTTGCAGCTGCGCACTGAGAAGGGAGAGCGGTTAACTCGATCGTAGAAGCTTCAAAACAAAAGTCTTCTGTTCATGGCCTTGGTTCATATCTTATTCGGTACGAAAGTTCCGGATCCACGTTTTTGCTCTTTGTCAATTAATAATGATTTGCACCGGCAACTGAGGAGGATCTTGTGTGTGTGTGTGCTACCCTCAGCTTCACCTGGGTTCTTATCTCAACCTGCTTTGTAGCTTCTCGTAACTGGCACGGAGAATGTTCTTCACATGTGTATAAAAACTCAGCGTTTTCACTGCTCGGAGACGTCATTACACCGAGCGCTGAGATACGTGCTGGTGTGTTTGACCTCCTGCTTGCAAGCAATAGTTAGAGCCAGATATCTGCGGAGAATTGCTCATGTAATCTTTTTCTCTTCTAAATAAATGTTAACTTTTTGACTTTAATTGATCAACGTGCTGCGATTCTTCTCATCAACCAACTCGGGGGGATTGGAGATCCTGACAATTTGGGGGCTCGTCCGGGATGAAAGGTTTTCCTGCACAGGCGAATTTGATCCAAAACGCTTACACCTGCTGAACGCGACATACTCCCAGGTCGGCCTCAAAATAAGGTAAGCAGAAACCTGTTACATCTAATTCTGCATATTGAATAAGCTAAAGTAAGGAGTACGTTGTGGATTGGTGGTGTACGAGCCAAAGTAATACTTGAGCAATTCTCTAAAAAGAAAAAAGAAAAGAATAAAAAAATGCATCGATGGGTTGAACACCGCCGAGTGTTTGTTTGCGTGCCGCCGGGTGCGGGAAAAGAACTGCAGTGCTTAAGGTCTGGAATCCAAAAAAGAAGTGATTACTGTTGTTTAGTGGGTACCTGCGAGTACCAAGGGATCTAGTATCCGTCATGAATCAAAGGAATCGAACGGCGCTGAGGTTTGGCAATAGATAAATTAACTATGGTTTAGTGGATACCGGTGGGTATTGTGGGATCGAAGAGATCCTGGTCTCTGCTTTGGCAACCCCCTCAGACTGTGACGAGGGCTGATTTTGCTAGGTGTGGTGTCCTGGGGATCTGGGGACCCCCGAAAAACTGGTCTCGGTTTTGGCAACCCCCCTCAGGACCCTGACGGGGGCTGAGTCCGCTAGGTACAGGCGCCTGGGAACTGGGGACCCCCAAAGGTCTGCGGGCTGGTCACCCAGGGTTAGGGTTCCTTGAAAAACCGTATGTTCGATTCCTAGACTTGCAGCCCTTGGAGAGGTGCTGGGATACAGTAAAATAAACAGTGCGCTTTGGAGTGTGGAGGGGGAGAGAGAGGAGTGATTAAATAAATAAATAAATGTGTTGAGAAATGCACTTAAAGAAATACGTTTTGGAAGTACGTTATAAGGAATTGAGAACGCAGACAGACCGCAAGGTTAAAGCATAAACTTGCGGCTTTAATAATTGAGTCTGAGAGGTTAACATAAACTCACAGACGCATTGACTCCGAAAGGTTAGTATAAACTTTCGGCATAAATTAATTCTGCGAGACTAACATAAGCTCGTGGACACAAACATTTTCTCTGAAAGGTTAGTATAAACTTTCAGAACATAGCTGTCTGCTCCGGTAAAATACATACGAACTGGTTGACTGCTGTTAAATGGGAGGTGAATTTGATGGAGAAGTGGAGGACGGCGGCTGGGAGCCAGCGCCGGGGTATCGATGGAAAATAATAAATGACCAACTGAGGATGTGTTGGTGGCGGTGAGCGGAGACACCACTGAGAAAAAGAAACATGATGTTGTGGAGCACACGGGACGCGCGGTGAGAAAGTTGTTAGAGGAGAAAGGTGTTAGTTTGGCAGATAGAGCGTCACTGACGCACATATTGTGGGAGAAGGGAGACTAGAGATTATAGACTGCTGAGAGTGTCATCTGAAATTAGACTTAAAACCGTAGGAAAAGATTGATTTACTAAAAAGAGGGGAAACAGTCATTGAAAATTAAGAGATGAGAAATAAGGAGAATTGTTCTGTATAGTGTCTGTTTTTTGTATTGATGTTTGTAGTTTTTTGAGTATTTTCCTGAACTCAGAGATAGGCTGTAAATTGTTGAGTGCTGCTTATTGAGTGTATAGTGCACGATACACTTGATACAGTATCTTGATAATGGAAGCAAATGTCTGATCAAAGGAACATTGATAGCAAAATGTGAGAAGGTGAATGTTTGGGGAAAAAGGAAACTTCACAAAGAAATTGACAAAATAGAGGACTTGAGCCGTAGACAAAAACAACCCAGAACGGTGTAATTCGGAAAAACCACCTCCATACGAGGGTAGAGAAAAAAAAAAAAAAAAGGAGAGACTGATTCTCAACCAACAAGCCTGCTGCTGCAGAGCCATTTTTTTTTTTTTAAGATCTCCAAGCTATTACTACAATTTTGATTTAAAATAGTAGAATTGTAGACATGCATTGAAGAAAGAGAAAGAAGATTTAAAGTCTTTAAAGCAACAACGGCTAGAATAAGCGTAATAAATCTCTGTTGAAGCAGCGGGGGTTTATGGGAGTAAAAAGGTCACAGCAGTGAGAAGATGTGTGGGAGCAACGGTGGAGGCCAATAAGGCTGGACGAAGGTTTTATACCTCCTCACTTTAAGAAGCACACACACATACTGTTGAATAAAGTTAATCCTGAGTGCCATCATTTAGTGATATAATTAGGTTTATGCATCTTTCTTGAATACCATGATATATAAAGAATAGAGAGGATAAATGGTCCTTTTGCTTTTCAGTTTAGAACAATAAGCTCATCATTACTGGGCTTTCAAAGGTCTGCCAAAAAACCTTTACATGAACAAGCGGGTTGTAGAGGGGATTTTATGAAATCAACTAACAGGTTGATAAGACATTGCAACTTTTAGTTTCGCTGAACTACTTTCTTTTTAAGTGTAACACTTGAATCAAGGATTTAAAATATGCTGAAAAAATTATTAAAACAAATAGAAATAAACATGAAAACTAATTCAGTACAGCAAATTTTTTTGGGAGGGGAATAACACTACGCGCTTGTTTGGACGAATGTAAGGAAACATCGGTGAAACACACAGGTCATCACCCAGGGACTGCGGGAGTGCAAAGGGAATGGTTTAGACAGGCGGTACTGGAGGGCGTAACAGAGAGTGTGAAAGCTAAAATGATCACTAACCCAGACCTGCCAGGTAGTGACTTTGCTGTGTGGGAGAGACATTTGCTACACCATTTACAAGACGCGACAGAAGAAGCGACAGGGGAAGATAAACAGTTAAAGGAGCTGCAGGCTCGACTGCTGAAGCTCCAGCTCACCAAAGTAAGACAGAAAGTGAGTGACAAGAAGCAGAGAGGGAAAGACGAGTGATAGATGGTTGCACAGGCTGTCCCAGCTGGAGGTAATGCCCCTGATTTGTATCCACTCCCACCATGGGAGGAGACGTCGTATGGGACAGCCCAAGGGGGTGGTTACAGGGGAGGCTATGGAGGTAACTGCTGTGGAGGAGCGTGTTGAGGAGGTCCATATGCAGGGGGAGGAGGAAGAGGCGGACGCAGATGGGGAAGAGGTTGTTTCCACTGTGGTATGGAGGGGCACCAGGTTAAAGAGTGTCCTGGTAAAGGAAGACAAGGGAGGGGTAGGTGTCCCACCCCAAGAAGCATGGGCTCCCAACGCACATGCTGCACCGCCCCCTAGAGGACAGTACCCCACACTGCAGGACTG